AACTGCAAACGAATTACATAGACAAAAGTATGCACCCTAAGTAATTATGTAAATGCAATTTTAATTTAAAAACCAAAGGACGGAGAAAAGTAAAAGTGTTTGACAATAGTGTTTGATAAATCACAAAGCAACACAACTAAAACCAGTGAACTAGGAAGACAATTTAAAAAGACACGGTAAATAACTCAGGGAATCAAAAGAAATCTTAATTACCATAATTAAGCCAACTACAAATATGCAATTACCGAAAATAAAATAAACAACTAAAAGGAAAAAAATACAAAGACTAAAAAGACCCCAACTAAAATGGCGGCAATAATTAAAAAGAATCTTCCAAAAAATAAACCAACAAACAATAGCCATAGATCTAACTAAAATCAAGAGTCAATATTTGACCACAAACCTCATCTAGAAACATGACCTCATTTGATCCTCTACCTACATATATATATATATATATATATATATATATATATATATATATATATATATATATATATATATATATATATATATATTAAATATAAAATTGTAGTGTCACAACTTTCTTTCTTTTTTCAAAAACAAGTTTTATATATATATATATATATATATATATATATATATATATATATATATATATATATATATATATAAATTGGAGGGGGGATACCCCAAAGAAAATACAACTAAGAGTTAGGCGCGGAAATCATTCGCCAGCTGGGTAATCCAGCTATGTCATTGTCTATGATACCTAAGATATAGTCGGGGGGTTCCCATAGAACATGTAAGCCAGGGGGAAAAAATGCAGAAGATTTTGCAAGAGCGTCCGCCACTTGGTTTTGGTTGCGATAAATTGGTTCTACTTGCCATGTCTCCAAAAACAAGTTTAATTTAAGTAAAAGATATTTATATATTATTATGTAAATGAGTAAAGCCCATAGTATTGATTATACAAAATCTTATACATTCACATTTTAAGAAAGAAAATACTTGGTGTATTCTTAATTTATACTTCTAACTTGTACTCCTTCTCACATGATTTTCATGTAAACATTTCTCTGTAAATCCACATAATGAAAATAATCAATCCTAATTTATCATCTCAAGGAGTAGAATTTGAGAGACTACGTAGTAAAACTCTTTTAGTAATTAGATGGGCATGATTAAGAACCCAATTTGTACCCAAAAGTTCAAAGCAGACATAAAGAACTTTCAAGACGTTTTGGGCCTTTTACCAACACTGGTAGTCCAAGAAAGGCTTTTAAGGCTAAGCTTGCGCTCAACAAATCAATAAATCGTTAGGTAGCATTACTATGCCTTTGTGCAGTGTAAGGTCAATCTACGTTTTGTTCACATAATGAATTTTGAGGTAATAGAAATGTTATTCCATAAGGAATGGAATAGACAAGGAATAGAATATGAATTGTATTCTATTGTTTCGTTCGCGGAAGGAATAGACTTTAATAATTATATTACAATGTTTGGTTGTTTTAAGGAATAGAATGAAATATGTTTCAAAAAGACATAAATATCCTTATAAAAGTATGTGGTGGTGGTGGTGGTGTTGGTGTTGGCGGTGGTGGCGCCGGTAGCAGTGGTGATGGTGGTAGGGTATTTTCGGTATTATAGTACCAAAGCTATTCCCAAATACTTGGGAATACCTAATACAAGGGGATCCCCTAGGAATGACTATTCCCCCTGCAAATGGAATAGCTCATTTTCGGAAACATTATTCCCATGAATAAAATGACAAAACAAACAATGGAATAAGTCTATTATCGGAAATGATATTCAATTCCCGACCTATTTCATGAACCAAACACGCCATTAGAGTCTACATAATGTAATTTATCTCTCATGTATAATTTATAAGTTATTATACTGGAGTAAAATTAACACAGTGCACACTTTTCAAATAATGATGTATAATTTCCCTCATTCCTTCATCACTCAATATATATATATATATATATATATATATATATATATATATATATATATATATATATATATGGTAGAGTTCCATTGCGGTCAAGGCTTCCCATGCATCACGCACCATTAGGTACACATAAGCCATTCCGTGGTGCGCTTATGTGTACCTAATGGTGCGTGATGCATGGGAAGCCTTGACCGCAATGGAACTCTACCATATATATATATATATATATATATATATATATATATATATATATATATAATCTATTACACTTACAAATTGACAATATCAGCTTTCAACAAATATTTTTCATACAATCAATAAATATGTTTAGTGCAACAATATCTCAAACTGTAGAAAACCAATAAATATATCATTTGTCTAGGGTGGATCAAGTTTGAATGTAAACATTTACACCCACGGTAGATTGACTTTACTAGAGATAATAACACCCAAATTCAAATTTAACTGACTCCCTCGACTATTAATATTTCACCATTTTGGTCATCGACTTTCAAACTTATTCAATTTCATCATCAATAATGCAATTGTTATCAGAATGATCATAACAAGAACTATTTTTTGTTTGAACAAATGACTATTTTAGATAAAAATTACATATAGTTGAAATGAAATTAAATAAGTTTAAAAGTTGAGAATCAAATTGATGAAATCCTAATAGTCGGCTCAAATGACTATTAACTCTATCCTAACCTACCCCATTTTAATATCTATTCATGTGTGGAATATTAAATTATTATCTCTAGTAAATACATTAATTAAATTATAAATCAAACAATCATTAGACATTTAGACACCACTAAAGAAGATTATGATCATCTCTAACTTTTTGACATTTTGGCAAGGCTCTCAATTTATTCTCACACCAAGTAACACTATACTTCCATCAATATCATAGTAGTTTTTTTTTTTTTTTTTTCCTTAGAAGAGAAAATCACTATTCGAATATATATAATGAGGAAATAAATTGTACTAAAAAATTCATGTATGACATATTTGATCAACAAAGTTTGTTAACAGTGGTCAAACTTATAATCTTATAATACGAAAATTATGTTCCACCAATTTATGAATTTAATTAACAAATAAAGTAAAATTAAAATTTACATTTTCTAGTGATATGAAACAAGTCAATTGGGTCCTAAATTTAACGAATAATGCAATTAGTTTAACTCCTTTAATTTAATAGAAGAAACAAAATATTTAGTGGCTTTCAAAAAAATTATGTCATATTATTATCCATTCAACATATTACAACTGAAGTTGTTTTGAGTATACTAACACCTAATCTCTTGATACTTGCATAGATTTTAATTATATCTATCATAATTAGGGGATTGCGAATTTTCTCGACCAAAAAAAAAAGAATAAATTGTTTTGCTCTTGTAACGACTAACGTCTGTCAATGGTCTCAATTTTCCATATCCCAACCACCCACTCCTGCAACGTCGCTGTTGTTTGTTAATGTCATAATCTTAATCAAGAAAATGTGTGTAATGTCTTCATTCTTCATTATTACGAGGATAACACTATCTGATGACTCATGTTTATCACGTACTAGTTATAACCTGGAGGGTGTGGTTGAGTGGAAGGGACTCATTCATTTAATCAAAGGTTAATGATTCAATTCTTGTCTTTGGAAACGGTGGCGATTAGTTTAGATGGAGACTTAGATTTTTTGGGCTAAAAATATTTGAAAAGTTAAAGTATAAAATACTTATTATTATTAAGTTGGAAAAAATAATTTGTAATAAATGAAGTTCAAGATATTAATAAGTTAAACGAATATTATGTTATGAAAGTTTGCACATAAAAAGAAAAAGTAAAAACAGTATATTTAAAAATTATATTATCATTCTAAAATAAATAAATCAAAATATCTAAGTTATCACTGCACATAATTACAACTATTTTTTATTTAAAATTTACCATCATTAGCTCTTATATAACTTATTACTAGTATATTTTTATGCGCGATGCGCAAAAAATAGGTGCCCAATATTAATACATTATATTAAAAATTTAAATTTATTTAAATTTTAGATATTTAAATTATTCTAAATAATAATAATAATAATGTAAATCATTTTTATAAATTTGATATTTATATTTTATGTAATAATTAACATATAACTCAGATATATAATGTTTATATATTATTATTAATGAAGAAGATAAGAAAATATATGGTGAATGCATGTGCATGGTAATAATAGTAGAAAAGATAACAGAAGTTATAACGGTAGGGGTATGTTTGTCAAAAATATTTTAATGTACAACCTTTATAGCATAATGTACAAAAAAAACTTAACGGAAAAAACGGACATAAATCAGGGGTATAACTTTCATTCACACTTATTATGTTTTTAGATTAGATTAGATTATTTACTTATTTAGTAGATTTTACTCCAAACACAGTAAAATTTTTGTTCGTGTTTTTCAACGCAAAGTCCGTGACCTAACTTATTAATGGTTATGTTAAAAAATATGCAGCAGTGGGTTGGTGGTTGGTACCAAGGTTGTTGAAATTTTAATGACCAACTTGAATCCATTTGAATGCACTCTCTAGCTATATAAGTATATAGTCTCCTCTTATATGATTATATATTATTGCTCCAAATTAAAAACCCATAACTATTGCATGCCCCACCCTTCAGCTTGGTGGAAAAAATGTTATGCATGTGTACTCACAAAATGGATTATTTTAATATTTTTGTCAAATAATTCGCATCGATCCACTGAAAAATATGCAACCATTTAAAATTAATTATCGTTGATCAAAAGTAAGGGAGTAGAATAAAAATACATGCAATACACTCAATAAGAATACGCGCAATACAATACAAAAGTAACGGACTTTAATTTTTCCATAAGCACAATCGTATAAAATATAGTGAAATTGTACGGCACTATATTAATTTCATTTTTGTTTTGGTACACTAGTATGTGTGAAACGTTAGACTTCTTGTCTGCATACTTAATATGCTAAGAATAAAGATACTGAGCATGACTAGTGTCGGGTGTAGGATGGGATTATTACTTTTTTTTTTTTTTTTCTATAAATGCTCCTAACACCTTACACAGTCTGCCATCTCGATCTGTTTTCCATAATAATTTTCTCTGGTTCTCTCTTAGCTCAGCTCCCAGCAGGATAGGATGGGAAGAGGCAGTGCAGTGATGGTGTGCGCGGCGGTTGTGCTGTGCGTGCTTCTGCTTCACTCCGAGGTGGCTCAGGCCGCCGTTTACACCGTCGGTGGTTCCGGCGGCTGGACCTTTAACGTCGACAGCTGGCCCAAAGGAAAACGCTTCAGAGCCGGCGATGTGCTCGGTAAGTACTATACAGTATATTGTATACACACTCAAACTTGTATATATATATATCCCACCGAGATCTATGTACAGTTTCTTATCATTGCAATCTAATCTAGTCTCAGTGGTACAAAGTTTTACAATGCTTTTAGACATATATAGATCTTGTTTAATTTAGTGATACTATATATAATACATTAGGTTTTATTTCCAGGTTAGGCTAATCTAAAGTCTCCAAATCCATGCCCAGCTGTCAATACTGAGCTTTACGTACTCTGTATATATATTACCCTCAAGTCCTCGACATAGTTCTTTAGTTCTTTATGCCGGTAGTGCAAAAGTTAAGAATGTTTAACAAAAAAATAAAAGTGTAGGTTGATGATAGTGAGATTGTATATTTATAAATTTATATATATTATCCCAACATGTTCCTTTAGTGTGTGGCGTGAAAAATTAATATTGGATGTACTATGATTAAGAGTGTATTTGGAAATCAAGAAAATGATTATTTTAGAAATAAATTTTTGAGTTTCTAGTATTTGGCAAATGAGAAAATATTAGAGTCCATGGAAATTGATTTTTGATCAAAGGAAAACAAAACTAGTTGTTTGGAAAATGAATTTTCCTTTTTTTTTTTGGGGGGAAAGTCATTTTTCATGTAGATAAAAAGCTCTCGGGCGGCGGAATGAGAAGGCGACCAATGGTTGCCTTCCGCCGGAGAAGGCTGGTCTCCTTCCATCAGAGAAAGGGAACAGTTTATCTTCTCTGATGGAAGGCGACCAACCGCCCGCGTTTCATTTATGGTAGAACGGTTCGCCTATGAAAAATAACTCATTTTCTAGAAAATATGTTTCAGAAGTTATTTTCTTGGTTTCCAAACACGCTAAACTTTTTTGTTTGTTTACCCCGTATGTAGTCAAAAACCACAATGGTAAATCAACCTAAATTATTTTTAGTTGACTGACTCAAACAAAAAAAAGTAAATAGATCGCTCCATTAGAGTCACCCTTGTAAATTTATAATCCCCTTGAACCCCTGGCTCTTGCTCGTGAGACTAATGGAGACAAATCATGAAATGTGTCTCAAATGATTTATTGGCCTCGAAATGATCGTACTAGTGTCCACCATAAAATTATAATTGAATTTATTTTGAATTGGTTGAGAGTGACTTGATTATATATTGCATGCAGCGTTCAACTACGGCTCCAGCTACCACAACGTGGTGGCCGTGAACCGTGCAGGCTACAACAGCTGCCGTCCGCCGCGCGGCGCCAAGACGTATCAGACCGGGAAAGACAGGATCAAGCTGGTGAAGGGACAGAATTTCTTCATCTGCAGTTTCCCAGGCCACTGCGAGTCCGGAATGAAGATCGCTATCACCGCTGTTTGACGAAATCCATGATTTTCGGGGACACATATGTATGGTTTACGCAAGGCGATGATGATATATATAGTTAATTAAAACGCATAAATAAATGCAGTATTACGTTGTTGCTAATTTAAGGAACTGTGCGTGGCTTGTCTAAGCTTATGCATATATAACTAGTGCCAAGTCCATTGGTTTAGCTATTTCTACTGTGTGGTTTCTACTTTCTACTAGTAGTCTTAATATGGTTCGTGCTTATAAAATACTGAGTACTTTATTTGCAGTGCTTTTTAGTGTGGAATGCTTTATTCTACAAATAATTTATTAATTAAATGCACATGATATACTAACCACAAACACATAATATGAAGCGAAGGGATTGATATAATATACTAAGTGTAGTCACATAATCTTATCGAAGTGGGAGATTGATGGTGGAGCATTGGACTTAGATCATATAGGTTGGGCCTGTGAGAGCGAGAATACTTGCATCGCATTAAATGTAAACAAGCTTTAAATAAGCTTTACAGAGCAAGGAAACAAGAAGCAGATAAAAGCTAAACCACAAGATAATAAAACAAATATAATAGAATTAATATATGAGGCCTAGACTAAGTCTTAACACGCCCTCGCAAGATTGAGGCACCATCGGTGAGCCCAAGCTTGAACCGAAACGCAACAAAAAGCCAATGACCAAGTGGTTTAGTTAGAAGGTCCGCAACCTGCTCAGCCGACCGGACATAAGTGACTCGCAGAGTTCCAGAAGTAACCTGTTCACACACAAAGAAATAGTCCAACGCCAAGTGTTTCATTCGTGAGTGGAAAACCGGATTTTTGCACAGTTACGAAGCACTCAAATTGTCAGTAACCAGCATCGGTGTAGAATGCAAATGAACCCCAAGTTCACACAACAAATTTTGGACCCACATAACTTCACTAGCGGAATTAGCAAGAGCCCGAAATTCAGCTTCCGTGGAGGACCGAGACACTGAACGCTGTTTTGCAGACTTCCAACAAATAATATAATATTAGAACCAAAAAATACACAATAGGTCGTGGTAGAACGCCCCCCATCACGAACACCACCCCAATCAGAATATGAAAATGCCACAAGCGATAGCAGACACCCACGCCGAAAATGTAGGTCAAAATGCAATGTACCTTTCAGATAGCGTAATATCGATCCGCTTGACAGCTTGCCAATGGCTCTCAGAATTAAAAAAAAAAAAAAAAAGAAGCTCGCTAGAGGGATGACTCTGATACCATGTGAGAGTGAGAACAGTTGCATTGCATTGCATTAAACATAAACAAGCTTTAAATAAGCTTTACAGAGCAAGGAAACAGAAAAAAGCTAGACTAAGTCTTAACAGGGCCTAGCTCCAAGGCAATAGTAAATATGACTGGAGTTTGGTGGGTGAAACTCGTCCACGAACAAGATTGTAGCCAATAAATTAAAGAATTCTGAAGAAATAAATTGACTTACTCAAATCTTGACTAGCTGTAGTAAAAGGTTAATAAGTAACTCCCAAATGGAATTTGATCGAACATATGACCTTAGTTACGTTCAATCTTAAGTCACAATAATTGTATTTCACTTTTTGATCAATTCAATTGGGATTGAAACCTATTGCTAGTTCAATTCTAAATTATTAAGTCGTGGTTCTAAATATATAATTATGTAACAACTACTTGTGACCATAGGCTTAGTTCAACCTCAAATTCAATTCACAAGTTAACTATCCAACCATCTCAACTGGTTCAAAGCCCATTTCGATTTCAGTTCTAAACTATATAGTCCAGTTCTAAATATGTAAGCAATAGATCAAACTTGAACTTTAATTTGAAGGTTAATCTTTAGTTTAAAAAATCGATGGTTCCGGTAATTTAGTTCACAGTTCTAACATTTTTGTTTCCATCCAACAATCCAAGTTCTAAATCGATGGTTCCAGTTTAATTAATTATAATTGGCCAAACATGAATCCTATATTCCACCAATTATAATTATATTTTGAATTATATTATATATATATATTTTAAAATCATCAATGTTTCAAAAGCAATATAATATTAAAACTACCAACAACATTTTAAATAACAACAAAAACACACACAAATCAACATACACTATATATTTTATATATATCATTATAAAATGTATACATACATACCACAACTACTTCTTTGATTTACGAGAAAATTTGCAGCCACTATATATTTATTGATGTGCATTGAGCAAAGCCTGCCTTCAAGCTGGCAGTATAATACTTGCCTGGGTGAAGCTAGCTAGGTTTCTCAAAAAAGAAATATGCAGAGGTAGTTTGGCATGCTGACCGCCTCCTCCTCGTCTTTAACGTTGTCTGATCTGCTGCTATGTATATAATAATGTAAATGCAGTATATACTACATATGTATGGTGTAAACATGTCTGTGTGTCAGAATGTGTGTATAATGAAGTGAAGGAGGTGGACAGAATGCCAAAATGACTCTGCAATACTTCTGAGAAACCCTGCAGGAAGAAGGAGAATAACAGCTGATGAGTTGATGAAGCTTCACATCTCTTATTATAACATTTTTTTTTTTGACCATAGGGTGAATCGAGAGGGGCATGATAAGTATTTATTACTGAAAAATGTATGGTAAAAAAATGGAGGACAATAATAGTATAGAGAGAGCTTTTTTGGGTGGTGGGTTGAAGAAAGTGGGTGCATGAGCGTGCATGATGTTTGTAGGATTAGTGGGGGGAAATATTGGACTTCACTTTTGTATATATTACGAAAAGTTCTTGCCCATGCATGCGTTTACATTTTTCTTTCTAAAAGGATTATTAATTCTGCCTACTTTTCATCCTTTATTATCTTTAATTATTTAGTAGTATTGTTATGTTATTTGTAGTCATATTATATTAGTTATGAAAATGATCAATGTTAGTCTCTTGATTATTTCATTTTCATCAATAATTCTGATTTTCTGATCCGTTAATCGTCATAACTTCTAACAAATATTCGTTAGAAACGAACATAAATTCTTAATTTCTGAACACTAAACTTTGATTTATACGTTTTGTAGTTACGTTGTATAAACTTGAAATAAATTTCAACTGCATATGTTCATCATTCGAGTTGAGAAGGTCCTCATTTAATTTTCATCACTTTAAATTGGCGAGACTAGTGAGAATAAATAAGGATTTCTTTTGAGTTTATACGACTACAGAATACATAAATCACAAAGTTAGGTCGTGTCAAAGATTTTACTTAATTAATCTCTAGTCACAAAATTCAAGTTCACAATCCAGTAAAATTTAAAAATGTTTTTACCACGCCTTTAATTAGAATCTAATATTTTAACCACAATAAAGCCTAATTAATTAAGTGAATATACGCCAAGATCTTGTAGTCTAATGGTATCCGAGTTGCAGTCAGGGGGCATTGACTTTATGAACAGATACTACATTGTAATAGAGTCAGTAGCATTCAAAAAAATTAAGTGAATATACAAGTTTGAATTTCAAATTTGGGCTCTTACCATTTCTTATATATTCTCTCAAATACTACCTACTGAACCAAGTGAGTTAAACTCGTACTTTTACCATTCACCCCAGTCCCATCCTCATCAAGGGATCTACCCACTTTGATGTTTTTATCATTTCTGTCATAGAACTAAACTGATGGATGAAGTAAATCCTAAAATGTGCATCAACTTCAAACTTTACATCATGTGATTATTTGCAAAGCAAATGTTATGACTTTATTTTAATTTGAATTTGCTAACCAATTGAGATGTGGCCGAGACATGAATATATATATGTTTGACCAGTGATCTACTGTGACCACAGTATGTACAGTTAGTAGGTGTTGGGGGTGGTATAGTGCTTTTTTGACCTTGCTTAAAAAGGAGAGTGCAAAATTTGAATGAGTTGCTTTTGTCTCCCACTCACCATGTGAGTAATCACATTGTCAACTCACATCCGATCGATCCATCCAAACCCTTTTCTATGTTCATTCTTTAGCAAGCTGGTGGTGAGAATGGGGATTAGGCTTTAATTTTGATGATTGGGAATCTATATTCTTTTGTGGACAAATTACTTTTAAACGTGTTTGACTTTAATTTAGCATATTGCATACACACTTTTCCTTTTTGTATGCATACAACTTTTATTTTCTATCTTTAATCCGTTATGCCCAAAACTCTTTTTTATACTTGTACATTAGTGTTCACCTGTAAAGTTACATTTGCAGCTAGCAAAACAAAACTTATAAACTTATTTTGAATTGATTAACCAATTGAGTTGTGTTACGAGAAAACTCTTTTTTGTTTTAGCTTACTAAATCATCTAACTAACTTGGTTGGAATTATGGACACTCCATTCCCACAATCGCCCCCCAAGGCCCCAAGGCTCCCACCCCCCCACCTCCCCCCCAACCCAACCAAAAAATCTAATTAGAAACAGTGGAATAATAGTTTTTTGAACTATTTACAACAATTCCGTTGTCGTCCAGCGGTTAGGATATCTGGCTTTCACCCAGGAGACCCGGGTTCGATTCCCGGCAACGGAATTTTCATCCTTTTTACAATGCTTAAGGCATTATCCACCTGGTGTATATTTGGCTTTAGAACCACTTGCAACAATTCCGTTGTCGTCCAGCGGTTAGGATATTTGGCTTTCACCCAGGGGACCCGGGTTCGATTCCCGGCAACGGAATTCTTGTCCCTTTTTTAACAATGCTTTTAAGGCATTAGCCATTAGGCTGCTGAGCTGCTAATTGAATTACTCCTCCATATTAATCATGATCAATAGTCATAATGTAAAATCAGACATACCAAATTGCAAAAGGGTACACTATATTTTGTTAAATTTTCCCAGAAAGTATAATCTAAGGTGCAAGGGTCCATTGAACTTTGAACAATTTTATGGGACTATTTACACTTAACAGCAGCACAGTTATTCCCAGTTGTTTCATCATAAAGATTCACAAAATTCTAGTATTCCAACAGACCTTTGACACAGTATGTAGCGACCAAAAACCATCCAAGGAGGAGGAGAGAAAACGACAACAATGCAATCAAGAAAGCCCATCCGACTAAGGCTAGTCCGAAGCAGAGCACCACGACGAATGGCAAGAAAGATCTCAGTATCGCAAAGCCATTATTAACCCAGCAGCCCTTGGTGAGCACTAGACCCGCCACGTTAACCACGTTCCAGCCCATCGATCCGCCATAGCATAGCCGGTTCAGGCAGTTGGCAACGAACGAGTGAGAGTTACAAGTGAAGAGGTTGTAGGATTGGTGCTCAAAGCGGCGCATGCTCGAGAGGAGCCCCTCGTCCCACGTGATCGCTGTGCCATAGTCTATATGCTTGTAACGACATTTGCACGTGTGCCCAGCAAGGTTCAGAGGAAAACAACACTGTTTATATCAAACAAAGTGAATTGGAAAACGAGAAGAACAGAAAGAAACCTTAACGAATTATCAAACATACCTGCTCTCTGTCCAACTGATAGTACCTGGCTACAGCTCCAAACGCAAAATTGTTAACATTGATTAAGTAGGACCCCGAGAAATCTAAGATGGTTCCATCCTCCCTGCATATGCCAACATGGCCAATGAAAGGCGCCAACCATGAGACCACGGGAAGAGGAGTCCAAACTAAGCAACACGGGAACTTCGCCTTCTTAGGATCTATTTCATCTAACGGCCATAGTTCGTGCTGAATTCTCTCCGCACGTGTTATTCTTTCGATGCCAAAAGTAGATGCAATCTCCATCCCACGAAGCCAACAGATACAACCAATGTACAATATGATATCCCTAACTTGCGAGTTTACTTCTCTCAATCTTCTCCCATGTCTGCCACATAGTGAACAGTTAAGACCAATCAAGAAGTATGGGACGAAAATGGAAGGAAATAACGCCACAAAACCATAATTTGTGAAAAATCACGGTCCCAATCATGAAAAAGGTCTATGGCATTTACAAGCTAAATTTACATTCTTCAATCATGACCTCAAGTTTAAAGAAATCGTTCTATGCACATTGGTATTTAAATACATAAGCTATGAATCCATCCTCTGAAATCACATAGAAACTCAGACACACAGTATTGTATCTGTACTTGTAAGGATTTTCATTGTATTCTTGGAACAATATTAGTTACCATCCACAAATAAAATGGCCCTGTTTGGTAACATAATTAACTTATCAGCCAATTTTGGCTTATTTGACCATAGTTGTTTGACTTGGTTAAATAATTAATATGATTGTTTGATTAATTAACTTTTTGTAACAGCTTATTGCTCAAAAATGCTAAAATTCAAAAAACTGTTCGAAACAACTTTTTCAATCAATTTTTTTGAGAAAATCATTTTGCATGTAATCAGTTATCAGCTAACAGCTATTTTACTAAACATCTTTCTACAATCAGCTAATGCTATCAACTAACCAAATTCACTAACCCAATCAGCTAAGAACTATTTATCAAACACCCCCGTTGTATTCTCATGGTGTAAGTCAATCACTTTTTTTTTGGATCATAGAAGAGGGGGAAACCCCAGAGACTAGAAAGAGAGGCCCTCAGTGAGACACTCGTCTGGGCGATGAAGCTCCCAGCCGATCTAAAGCCATCCGAACCTCAAACTCCCCCGGCGGAACTTCAAAGATGTGGAGGCCACCCTGAGTCGTCAACGCCCACTTCGCCAATTTGTCGGCGAGTTTGTTCTGTTCCCTGTAGATATGCAGGAAAACTACAGCTAAGAAGTTCTCCGCTTCTTTAATGCACCTCCGAACAATATTATTATTTTGCTCCTGCCCGGTTTCCTTTCCCTTTAACGCCTCTACCAGCATCTTTGAGTCACATTCTATCATTATTCTCCTTGCACCATACTCCTTAGCCATGCGTAGGCCCTGCAGCACACCCCACGCCTCCGCCACTGTACTCGTACATCTTCCTATTCTATATGTGTAGCCTCTGCACCAGTTGCCATGAGTATCCCGAAGGACACCACCGCAGCTTGCCTGGCCATCACTCGTACAACTGCCGTCCGTATTCAGCTTTAGCCATCCCTCATCTGGTTTCTCCCATGACAGCCTTTCTTCACCTCCCCTGTTGTGTCTCTGCAAAGGCCAGTGTCTTTCTTCAAAAGCCGCCGCCGTCTCGCTGTCGCATCTTCGTAGCCAGTCCAGCTTCTGCTCCAGTGGCAGGAGGTTTCTATTAAAGACTGCTTCATTACGCCATTTCCATAACCACCAAAGTCTGGTTCCAAACCGCTCGGGCCAACCATCCTCGAAGCCTTGCTGGCGGTCCCCTTTCAAGTTCATCGTAAGCCAGCTATTCCAGTCGAGATTGCGCATAGACTCCTCTGTACGTCGTTGTAGCGAGTGTCTCCAAATACGATCCACGTCATGGCATCGTCTAAAGAGATGATCCAAATCCTCACGCTGACCTGCACAATTGTAACAGTATTCGTTAGATGTGATATGTCTCCTCGTTCTTTCATAATTCGTTAGAACTCTCCCATGCTTAACTAGCCAGATAAACATCGAGATTCTTGCCGGAACCCTTAAAGACCAAATAAGGCCCCAGACTTTGTCAGCCTCCTGTCTAGCAGCATTGTCTGCCCACCCATACGCTGACTTGACCGAAAAGCACCCACGAGGGTCTGGGCTCCAACCCCATCCATCTGGAGTATTTTCTTCTGTTAAGCATAAACTGGCAAGGCGCTCTAGCTCTTCAGTGGGAAGGTATCGCTGTATCTTCTCCCATTTCCAACCTCTAACTTTATCCCAGTATTCGTTCACTGTTGCATATAGTTCTGGGAGGCCGAGGGTGCCACGGAGCTTCTCATATAGAGGTTTTGCTGTGAGCCAAGAGTCCATCCAAAACCTCGTAGATTTCCCATTTCGGACGACATGCGTGAGTCCGCTTTCTAAAGTTTCTCGCTCAGCACTAATCCCTTTCCATGCGTTGGAGATGCTTCTTCTACGAGTGGTAACCAGATGTGAGCCCGACCTGTGATGGTATTTCGTAGTAAGCGTTTTCGCCCATAGAGTATTTGGTTCCGTCTTAAGTCTCCAACCCAGCTTCATCATACATGCCCTATTCATGGTATGTAGGTTTCTCAAACCCAAGCCCCCACGCGTTTTGTCCGTAGTGATTATGTCCCAGGCCACCAGACTCATCTTATTGTTCCCAGATTGTTCATCCCGGCCCCATATGAATCGCCTGGTCCTTTTCTCTATCTCCGAGCAGACACCCTTAGGGAGGGCAGCCGTTTGCATGGTATAGATCGGGATAGCGTTAAGCACAGATTTGGCCAAAGTGACTCGTCCGGCAAGAGAGAGAGTCTTTGCTTTCCAACCCTCCAATCTGGCCGAGATTCTATCGAGGAGGCCCGCATAAGTGTTGCAGGTGACCCTGCCATGTAAAGATGGTACACCGAGATACCGGCCCAGGTCTTTCGTTTCTACAATCCCCAACTTTCCAACTATATCCTGCGCAACATCGGGGGCGGTATTTTTCGAAAAAAATACTTGTGATTTAGTGAGGCTGTAAGTCAATCACTTTTAATTTACACTAAACCAAAAGCCTTTTTTTTTTTTTTTTTTTTTTTTGGACAAGTACAAGCAATATCGTGGAGGAACAAATTTCACCAACTACAATTTTTCCTATTCAGCAATAAGATATTTAAAACAATATGTATATGCATCAACAAAAAAAATAAATCATTTTGCTCTGATGAACTATCAAGAAATCTAGGAAAGAATGCTGTAATCTCTATCCAGTCAAAATTAGGGCATTGCATAGCTACAATCAGCAATAACAAATATTCAAAATTTTAAATAAAATAATAAAAATGAAGCTAATCAAATAATTATTCAGTTCCATTGTTTCGCATTCGCAGGGAATTTTTCCATCAACAAAAATATTATCTTTTTGGAGCCCAGAATCAGCGTATATATATGCATACAATTATACAAATATCATAACCAATGCGCAAATATGAACTGAAATTCAATAATTAAAAGAACAAAAAAAGAAAAAAGAAAAAAGAAAAAAAGAGGAAAGATATAAGATGCTTATGAATTTGACATTTTTAAAAAATGGGAAATATAATTCATACAATGACGCGAAACCTGCAAAGACTGATGAGGGAGTTGAAGCAATCTGCAGGTGTGATGTTGGAGTATGCTACGATGCATGCTGTTGATGAAGCAGACAAGACACGCAAACATCTTAGCACATGCTCTTTATTGGTATTCTATATTCTATATTGCTGTAAAATGTTGACTCAAGGAATTTTATTTTATTTCTGGGTTAAACACGAGATCTTCTGAGCATGCCTTAACTATAAGACACATCTTTTAAGTCTGTACCATACTCAGACGAGTCTCTGTTCGCACTGGACTCACTTATCTTATACTGTCTCACGAATTTCTATTTGTACATTAGGTCATTTCAATATAAAAATATAATACTTATACTGAAAAATATAACACTAATCATGAATGAAATGTTTATTAATTGTATGTAAAAGTGTAATATTTTTTGTTTATATGTAAAATTATTACATTTTCATCAAAAATATTAAAATTTTTCTTATAAGATTTATGAAAAAAGTATAATATTTTTATATCAAATTATAAGTATTAAAAAAAAATTACACTTTTTCATATAAGTATTACATTTTTTGGTATAAATATTACATTTTCATTTTTGACTCCACCCCTACAAAGATATATGAGATAATTTTACACAAGTTTTTGCTATTTAATTTTAATTTTTTTTTTTTAAAGATTCATTACATTTTTACTAAAATTACCAGTTCTAATTAGTTCGTAGAGTATGAAATATGAATAATTATAAATATTGTTTTAAATTTGATAAATGTACATTAACATAAATAAAAAATTAAAAAATTATTATTTTTGGTTGTTTTCAAAGTTCTGATTTTCATGTTTAAGATAATTAGGGGACAGAATTGAAGTAGGGAAGATGCATGAACCTCAAACCTACCCCAGTGTATCTTAAATCTTACACTGGATATGGGTCCATTTCCAACCTTGGTTGGACTAAGGCGGGACCCACGCATATAATAAGGCAAAATATACTATAAAACTTACATGGTTATTTTTAGTATACTTCTTATTAAGTCTCCTGTGTTATAAATCGTTGCTTGTTTAGTAAGGTAATATAAACTTGCAGCCATTGCTTGTTGAATATGAACATTGCCTAATCTCATTCGTATTTTGGTCGAAGGAATGATGCTAGCCCCGAAAATGCATAGCTCGTAGGTTCGTTTGTTGTTGGAGCTTAAATTAACTTTGTAACTCATTAATTCGGTCGAGCGTTCTTCATGGCATCAACAATCGTATAGTTTCACTAAAAATGAACACGCAATATAATAAAATGAATTTTAGTCTAAGGTATTTCTGGTATATCTGTAAGAGCAGCAACAACAACAATGATCCTTTTCCAATACTAATGTCTGAAGATGAGGGCATTTCATAAGTATAAACTACAGTGTTTCAGACTTGCATATATTGAAATATAAAGCATCTGCATATCATCAGAGTGATCAGACTTCTATTTCCCAGATTGTTGAAATGTTCCCACATTGATTCTGTAGGGAGAATGCGAAGGGACATTAGCAACATAAAAGAAGCGGGCTGTCAAAAGTGAAAAGCATACCTTTCTCGGCCTTTTGGCTAAGATCAAGTGTAGTATCTGTTCTTATCAGTTTAATATCTGATACGTGAGCCATCGGTTCACATGATATTAACTTAATCTTTCAAGGGGAAGGCTCATTAAGGTAGCTTGCTACTTGGGCCTTCGTGAGTCGCCTTGGTATTGCACTATTACCTTGGCCTGGCTCGCCCTGCCAATGTTAGTCCAACATCTTAGTAGAACTCAATTAGAAGATGACACAAAACGATGTTTTTTCACAGACCATATATGCCCTTCAAAAACTGTGCAAAGGTTAATTTCCTGCAACATTTTTCTCCTAAGATGTCTGCAGAGTGGCATACCAAATTTAATTGATAGGAAATGCAGTCCGTTTAAACTTCTGTTTACATGTTTACAAAGAAGACATTTCTTGCTTACCTCAGTTCTTCATCCAAGTAATATGCAGCAAACCGCAAGCTGTTGTTTCAGGAACTTCTATGGGTATCTGTCACCAAAACGAGTATTTAAGGACTGCTATAAATCAAGAATGGGGAAAAAAAAGTATTCACATAGTCATATAGGTAAAGGAATAACATAGATTCAGAAGTTATAATAGGATTACCATTTTTCATATCACACATTTTCATTCTGGCTGAGGGGTTTAAAAAGGAAACTTTCTTTTTCTTGTTGCAAATGCAAATGCAAACAAGTTGGCTGTCATCTTCAAGATTCTGATGCATAGCTTCCAATACTTGGCTTAACTATTTTTTAATAACTTTCTTAACTTATTATAGCAATCAGCACTACAACTTCATGTTATCCCACTGTTTGCTCATGTCCCACATTGAGAATGTAGAAAGCATGTAAAAGTGCACGAGTACTATAAAAGAAGTGGCTGTCAACAAGAAAAAGCATACCTTTCTCGGCCTTTTGGCTAAGATCAAGTGTAGTATCTGTTCTTATCAGTTTAATATCTGATACGTGAGCCATTGGCTCACACGATATTAACTCAATTTTTTAAGGGGAAAGATCCACCAAGGTAGCTTGCTGCCTGGGTCTTTGAGTGTCGCCTTGGTTTTGCACTATTGCCTTGGCTTGGCACACCCCACCAATTTTAGTCTTACATTTTAGATGTGTAGTTTATAGTATGAGAAAAGAGATGAAAGTTGCAATTATGTTAATTATGGAGTGTATGATCACTGCTAGAAATCAAGAAGCTAAAAGAAATCTTATGCCCATAGAAGACTCAGATTCTGAAACTAGTCAGAATAGCATTGCAGTCCCATTATTGATTACAAACATTTTCTTTTCAGGTAGAGGATTAATTTGTATTCTTTTTCGGTTTTTCCTGCAGACAAATATGTGTATGCCAGATCATATGTGCTTATTAGAGTATATATACACACATATGAACTAATAAGCACTACAATTTAATGTTGTCCCACATTGATAATACACAAAGCATGTAAAGGTGCATGAGTACTATAAAAGAAGCGGTCTGTCAACAATACATTTCATACCTTTCTCGGCCTTTTGGCTAAGATCAAGTGTAGTATCTGTTCTTATCAGTTTAATATCTGATACGTGAGCCAATGGTTCACACGATATTAACTCAATTTTTTTAGGGGAAAGATCCACCAAGGTAGCTTGCTGCTTGGGTCTTTGAGTGTTGCCTTGGCTTTGCACTATTGCCTTGGCCTGGCACACCCCACCAATTCTAGTCTATCATTTTAGTTTTGTGTAGTTTAATACTTGTTTTGTATGATCACTGCTAGAAATCAAGAAGGGAGAACAAGTCTTATGTGTGTAGTGTCATAGAAGAAATCATTGATTCTGAAACTAGTTATAGTAGCATACTAGCATTGCATATTATTGATTACAAACATTTTCTTTCCAAACTTTTTCTTTTTCCCAAACCATGCCCCCCTCCAAAAACTTTTTATCTAGGATATCCATAAAACTGTGTTAAAGGTTAATCTCCCGCAACAATTTTCTCCTAAGATGTGTGCAGACTGGCTTAAAAAATTTAATTGATAGAAATTCAGTCATTTTAAAATTCTGTTTGCGGTGTTAACAGAGAAGGCATTTTTGCCTTATTGCTTACCTCAGGTTTTCATCCAAATAAGTAATATCCAGCAAACCGCGAGCTGTTGTTTCAGGAACTTCTATTGGTATCTGTCACCAAAACGAGGATTTAAGCACTGCTATAAATCAAGAATGGGAAAAAAAAATTATTCACATAGTCATAGGTAAAGGAATAACATAGATTCAGAAGTTATAACAGCATTACCATTTTTTATATCACACATTTTCATTCCTGGTGGAGGGATTTAAAAACGAAACCTTCTTTTTCTGGTTGCAAATGCAGATGCAAACAAGTTGGCTGTCATCTTCAAGATTTTGATGCACAGCTTCCAAGACTTGGCTTAAATATTTTTTAATAACTTTCTTAACTTATTATAGCAATCAGCACTACAACTTCATGTTATCCCACTGTTTGCTCTAGTCCCACATTGAGAATGTAGAAAACATGTAAAAGTGCATGAGTACTATAAAAGAAGTGGCTGTCAACAAGATAAAGCATACCTTTCTCGGCCTTTTGGCTAAGATCAAGTGTAGTATCTGTTCTTATCAGTTTAATATCTGATACGTGAGCCATTGGCTCACACGATATTAACTCAATTTTTTAAGGGGAAAGATCCACCAAGGTAGCTTGCTGCCTGGGTCTTTGAGTGTCGCCTTGGTTTTGCACTATTGCCTTGGCCTGGCACACCCCACCAATTTTAGTCTAACATTTTAGATTTGTAGTTTACAGTACATGTTTGGTTATTTGGCTTTTTACCAATGAGATGAGAAAAGAGACAAAAAGTTTAAATGAAAAGAAATCTTATGTGCATTAGGTCATAGAAGAATCACAGATTCTGAAACTAGTCATAATAGCATTGCAGCATAGCCCATTATTGATTACAAACATTTTCTTTCCAGGTAGACTAATTCGTATTCTTTTCCGGTTTTTCATGCAGACTTAATATGTGTATGCAGACAGATCATATGTGCTTATTAGAGTACATACATAGTATAAACTAATAAGCACTACAATTTAATGTTGTCCCACTGTTTGGTCAAGTCCACATCGATAATGCAAAAAGCATGTAAAGGTGCATGAGTACTATAAAAGAAGCGGTCTGTCAACAACAGAAGTCATACCTTTCTCGGCCTTTTGGCTAAGATCAAGTGTAGTATCTGTTCTTATCAGTTTAATATCTGATATGTGAGCCAATGGTTCACACGATATTAACTAAATTTTTTTAGGGGAAAGGTCCATTGAGGTAGCTTGCTGCCTGGCTCTTTGAGTGTCGCCTTGGTTTTTTCACTATTGCCTTGGCCTGGCACACCCCTCCATTTCTAGTCTTAACATTTTAATTGTATGTTGTTATTTGTCCTAATTAACATTGAGAAAGATCAGATGAGGCATAAGGTGAAATTTGGTTAATTATCGTTAATTATTGAGTGTATGATCACTGCTAGGTATCAAGAAAGGAAATCAAATCTTATGTGCATAGATAGATTCCAAAACTAGCCATAATAGCATTGATTACAAACACTTTCTTTCAAGGTAGAGGGCTTCTTTTTCTTTTCCCAGACTAATATGTGTCTGCAGATCATTTGTGCTTATTTGAGTATATAAACTAAAAAGCTCTAAAAATTAATGTTGTACTACATTGATAATGCAGAAAGCATGTAACAGTACATTAGTACACTATAAGAGACGCGGGCAGTCAACAAAGAAAAGCTTTTACCTTTCTCGGCCTTTTGGCTAAGATCCAGTGTAGTATCTGTTTGCCTTCAAGTTTCGCCTTGGTTTTGCACTATTGCCTCGGCCTGGCACACCCCACTAATTTCAGCCCAACTTCTTCTCTTATTTGCATTGTCAATGTGTATCTGGAACTTGGAGCAACCACAAATTAATTAGGTTTCTACTCCTGATTCTCTCGTTGTTCAGAAAACATATATAAATGGTGATATGATATAGAATAATAAAATTCATCTGTCCAGTATATCTGTGACCAGTAAAAACAGCAACTATAGCAGTAATTCTTTTCTGGTTCTAATATTTGATGATGGTGGCAGTTTATTCATAATAATAAACTAGTCTGTGAACATAAGCTCCCAATGATTAACTAGCTGCGCATATTCAAATTTCCCACATTCCCCTCATGTCCCACATTGAAAATGTAGAAAACATATGCAAGTGCATAAGCAATATAAAAGAGGTAGGCTGTCCAGAAAATAAAGCATACCTTTCTCGGCCTTTTGGCTAAGATCAAGTGTAGTATCTGTTCTTATCAGTTTAATATCTGATACGTGAGCCAATGGCTCACACGATATTAACTCAATTTTTTTAGGGGAAAGGCCCACTAAGGTAGCTTGCTGCTTGGGCCTTTGAGTGTCGCCTTGGTTTTGCACTAATGCCTTGGTCTGGCACACCCCACCAGTTCTAGTCCAACCAATCGTTTTAAAATAGTGTAAGCATACCTTTTTTGGGCAAGAACAAAGGTGCCAGTGCCAAAGAGAGGAGTTGGTTTTGGAACTTTTTTTTGAATCAGAGAACAAAAACAGTCTATGTTAATATGCTTTCCTATTTTATAGCATAATAAAAAAATTCAGATAAAAGTAACAGAGCAGTGCAGACTAAGATACAGAATGTAGCACTGCACCAATTGTTCATGCTACACATCATCATTTTTCCCAAGTGTGCTAACAAGGTTGCTTTTCTTATATCCCGAGGCAACAGTACATACAAGCAAAGCTCATATCATATGCATCTGCGGTCTCTGCATTTTAGCAGAACTCAGTTAGAAGACACAATGCAATGTTTTTCCAGAAACCATGTCCTTCAAAAACTGTATTTTTTTAAATCTAGGATATCCATAAAACTGTGGTAAAGGTTAATTCCCGCAACATTTTTCTCCTAAGATGTGTGCAGACTGGCTTAGCAAATTTAATTGATAGAAATTCAATCCTTTTAAAATTCTGTTTGCGGTGTTTACAAAGAAGGCATTTCTTGCTTACCTCAGTTCTTCATCCAAGTAAGTAAAATCCAGCAAACCGCGAGCTGTTGTTTCAGGAACTTCTATTGGTATCTGTCACCAGAACGAGTATTTAAGCACTGCTATAAATCAAGAATGGAAAAAAAATAAAAAATTATTCGCATAAACATAGATTCAGAAGTAAGTTATAATAGCATTACCATTTTTTATATCACACATTTTCATTCCTGGCGGAGGGGTTTAAAAAGGAAACTTTATTTTTCTGGTTGCAAATGCAAACGCGAACAAGTTGGCTGTCATCTTCAAGAATTTGATGCATAGCTTCCAAGACTTGGCTTAACTATTTTTCAATAACTTTCTTAACTTATTATAGCAATCAGTACTACAATTTCATGTTATCCCACTGTTTGTTCAAGTCCCACATTGAGAATGTAGAAAGCATGTAAAGGTGCATGAGTACTATAAAAGAAGTGGGCTGTCAACAAGAAAAAGCATACCTTTCTCGGCCTTTTGGCTAAGATCAAGTGTAGTATCTGTTCTTATCAGTTTAATATCTGATACGTGAGCCATTGGTTCACATGATATTAACTCAATTTTTTTAGGGGAAGGATCCTCCAAGGTAGCTTGCTGCCTGGGACTTTGAGTGTCGCCTTGGTTTTGCACTATTGCCTTGGCCTGGCACACCCTACCAATTTTAGTCATTTTAGTCTAACATTTTAGATGTGTAATTTATAGTAGATGTTTGGTATTGGTACCAATGGGAAAAGAGGCTAATGTGGAAATTTTGTTAATTATATTTTGTATGATCACTGCTAGAAATCAATAAGGGAAAAGGAATCTTATATGTGTTAGGTCATAGAAGAATCACAGATTCTGAAGCTAGTCATAATTGCATTGCAGCATAGCCCATTATTGATTACAAAACATTTTCTTTCCAGGTAGAGGACTAATTTGTATTCTTTTTCGGTTTTTTCCTGCAGACTAATATGTGTTTATTAGAGTACATATATTAACTAATAAGCACTAAAACTTAATGTTCCCCACTGTTAAGTCCCACATTGATAATGCAGAAAGCATGTAAAGGTGCATGAGTACTATAATAGAAGTGGGCTGTCAACAATTAAAAGCATACCTTTCTCGGCCTTTTGGCTAAGATCAAGTGTAGTATCTGTTCTTATCAGTTTAATATCTGATACGTGAGCCATTGGCTCACACGATATTAACTCAATTTTTTAAGGGGAAAGATCCACAATGGTAGCTTGCTGCCTGGGTCTTTGAGTGTTTCCTTGGCTTTGCACTATTGCCTTGGCTTGGCACACCCCTCCATTTCTAGTCTCAACAGTTTAATTTTTTAAAAAAAGAAACATTTTAATTGTAAGTTGTTATTTGTCCTAGTTTCCATAGAGAAAAAGATCACTTGTGTCGTGCCAAAGGTTAAATTTAGTTAATTATCGTTAGTTATGACTGTATGATCACTGCTAGGAATCAAGAAGGAAAATCAAATCTTATGTGCACAGATAGATTCCAAAACCAGCCATAATAGTATTGATTACAAACACTTCCTTTCAATGTAGAGGACTTCTTTTTCTTTTTCCCGCAGATCATATGTTCGTTCTTATTTGAGTATATAAACTAAAAGGCTCTAAAAATTAATGTTGTACAACATTGATAATGCAGAAAGCATGTAACCGTGCATTAGTACTATAAGAGAAGCGGGGCTGTCAACAAAGAAAAACATACCTTTCTCGGCTTTTTGGCTAAGATCAAGTGTAGTTTCTGTTTGCCCAAGTATCGCCTTGGTTTTGCACTATTGTCTCGGCCTGACGCACCCCACTAATTTCAGCCCAACTTCTTCTCTTATTTGCATTGTCAATGCGTAGCTGGAACTTGGAGCAACCAAAAAATTATTAGGTTTCTACTCCTGATTCTCTCGTTGTTCAGGAAACATATATAATGGTGATAATATAGAATAATAAAATTCACCTGTCCACTATATCTGTGACCTAAAAACAGCAACTATAGCAGTAATTCTTTTCCAGTTCTAATATTTGATGATTTTGGCATTTTATTCATAATAATAACCTAGTCTGGGAACATAAGTTCCCAAAAAACTATTTTTTAGAATATTAAAAGATTAACTAGCAGCGCATATTCAAATTTTCCATATTTCCCTCATGTCCCACATTGAAAATATAGAAAGCATGTGCAAGTGCATGAGTAATATAAAAGAGGTAGGCTGTCCACAATGAAAAGCATACCTTTCTCGGCCTTTTGGCTAAGATCAAGTGTAGTATCTGTTCTTATCAGTTTAATATCTGATACGTGAGCCAATGGCTCACACGATATTAACTCAATTTTTTTAGGGGAAAGGCTCATTGAGGTAGCTTGCTGCCTAGTCTTTGAGTGTCGCCTTGGTATTGCACTATTGCCTTGGCCTGGCACACCCCAACAAGTAAGTTTAACATTTTAGTCGGACTTGAAAGCAAATACGTAAGTAAATAAGCATACTTTTTTTGGCCATGAACAAAGGTGCCAGCACCAAAGACAGGATGAGCTTTCGGAGTTTGTAACTTTTTGTTGAATCAGAGAACAAACACAAGACACTATGTTTATATGATTTCCTATTTTATAGCATAAAAAAAAAATTAAATTTTAAATTTTAGTAACAGAGCAGTGCATTCTAAGATACAGAATATAGCAGCGCACCAATTGTTCATGCTATACAGAATATAGCAGCGCACCAATTTTTACCAAATTTAATTGATAGAAATGCAGTCCTTTTAAACTTCTGTTTGCGTGTTTACAAAGAAGACATTTCTTGCTTACCTCAGTTCTTCATCCAAGTAAATATCCAGCAAACCATGAGCTGTTGTTTCAGGAACTTCTATTGGTATCTGTCACCAAAACGAGTATTTAAGCACTGCTATAAATCAAGAATGAAAAAATAAAAAATAAAAAATTATTCGCATAGTCATAGGTAAAGGAACAACAAGTTATAATAGCATTACCATTTTTTATATCACACATTTTCATTCCTGGCGGAGGGGTTTAAAAAGGAAACTTTATTTTTCTGGTTGCAAATGCAAACGCAAACAAGTTGGCTGTCATCTTCAAGATTTTGATGCATAGCTTCCAAGACTTGGCTTAACTATTTTTGAATAACTTTCTTAACTTATTATAGCAATCAGTACTACAATTTCACGTTATCCCACTGTTTGTTCAAGTCCCACATTGAGAATGTAGAAAGCATGTAAAGGTGCATGAGTACTATAAAAGAAGCTGCCTGTCAACAAAGAAAATCATACCTTTCTCGGCCTTTTGGCTAAGATCAAGTGTAGTATCTGTTCTTATCAGTTTAATATCTGATACGTGAGCCAATGGCTCACACGATATTAACTCAATTTTTTTAGGGGAAAGGCCCGTTAAGGTAGCTTGCTTCCTGGGCCTTTGAGTGTCGCCTTGGTTTTGCACTATTGCCTTGGCCTGGCACACCCCACCAATTTTAGTCTAACAATTTAGATTTGTAGTTTATAGTGCAGGATGATTTGTTAAAAGAGATGAAAGTTGAAATTTGGTTAGTTATAGTGTATGATCACTGCTAGAAATCAAGAAGGGAAAAGAAATCCTATGTGCGTTAGGTCATAGAAGAATCATAGGATTCTGAAACTAGTTATAATAGCATTGCAGCATAGCCCATTATTGATTGGAAACATTTTCTTCCCAGTGCAGGTAGAGGACTCATTTCGTATTCTTTTTCGGTTTTTGCTGCAAACTAATATGTGTATGCAGATCATATGTGCTTATTAGAGTACATATAATAAACTAATATGCACTACAACTTAATGTTACCCCACTGTTTGTTCATTAATGTTACCCCACTGTTTGTTCAAGTCCCACATTGATAATGCAGCAGAAAGCATGTACAGGTGCATGAGTACTATAAAAGAAGTGGGCTGTCAACCAGAAAAAGCATACCTTTCTCGGCCTTTTGGCTAAGATCAAGTGTAGTATCTGTTCTTATCAGTTTAATATCTGATACGTGAGCCATTGGCTCACACGATATTAACTCAATTTTTTAAGGGGAAAGGCCCGTTAAGGCCAGCTTGCTGCCTAAGCCTTTGAGCATTGTCTTGGTTTTGCACTATAGCCCAGGCCTGGTGCACCCCACCAACATTAATACAATATTTTAGTTGAACTGAAGTTTTCTACTTGTATAATTATTATTATATTACTGTATCAAATTACCAATTAATGTTTCTACTCATTTTTCTTTGAATAGAGGTGAATGTTTCTTCATACTGAGGTTAGGTAAAAATGATGAAGAGGGTTAGGGTTAACTTCAGGAATATGATTACCTGATTGAAAGTTGGCCAGGAGTCCAAATTAAGGGCTCGAAGTGTGTCAGTGTTGATTCCTTGGTAGTTTGTTCTTGATCTTAAGAACTTTAGCCTCTGTTCACAATGACAATCTGTGAATACTCTCAATTTGAACAAAGCATTAGAAGAAGCGAGATTAAAACAGAACACTCCCCTAAAAAAAAAAAAAAAGGATATATAGGTTCTTATAAAGCAACGAGAAACCACCAGCACTACTAAAGCCAGAGAGGAAAACACAGGTTCCCTTGTGTTTTTTATGAACAATGATACATAATTTAATGACAACACGGTTACACAGTTTACTTGAATATCTCAATTCTCACACGCTAACAATTCTGGAGAGTAACATCTCTTACACAGACATCAGTTTTCTAGGTTTGACTTACATTTGTTTGGAGAATTGATTCTGAAGTTGTGTATATATGTTCCCATTTGCCATTTAGGAAAGGAGACTTCAGTGGCTCCTTAGTCGGATTTGCTGCTTCCAGCTTCCGAACAATCTGGTATAGAGCAAGTAACAGTGAAAAACAACAAATAACACCCAAAACGAAGAATGGCCTATTTATAAAAACAAACTTCCACATTCAGAAACTATTTTCTGTCGTCGAGAGAGACACTAATAGTGCAGTATAATAAAAAAATTTCATTTGTCAAGTACCATCCAACAAAACGTTGATAACAACAAGAACGTATAAATAAACTAAGGTGCATTACATCCAAGGCTCTGGTTAACTTATCAAAATATACTAATCAGCACCACAAACTATTGTTTCACCATTGTCTGCTCAAGTCCCACATTGATAATGCAGAAAGGCAGTGAAGGTGCATGAGCAACATAAAAGAAGTGGGCTGTTCACAAAGAAAAACATACCTTTCTCGGCCTTTTGGCTAAGATCAAGTGTAGTATCTGTTCTTATCAGTTTAATATCTGATACGTGGGCCAATGGCTCACACGATATTAACTCAATTCTTTTAGGGGAAAGGCCCATTAAGGGAGCTTGCTTCCTGGGCCTTTGAGTGTCGCCTTGGTTTTGCACTATTGCCTTGGCCTGGCACACCCCACCAATTCTACTCCAACAAATCTTATTTAAATTCTGTAGTGTAAGGCTTGCTCTCATGTGAAACCGAAACTAAACAAGTGCTTGTTAACTGTAAAGGTACCATTCATGTGCTGCAACTTTGTTCTCTCCAATCAGCCTGATATATAACATAGATAATTGTAAACAATATTGAGTGGCCTAACTCTAAATGCGAACACAACCCACTTTGTTCTCTCCATTCAGCAGAGATAAAACATAGACAATTGTAAACAACCGACCAGATGATTCTTTTGAAATGTTAAAGGAAGCATATAATGTGCAGACATAAACTTCCAAAATTTTCTTAGCTTATGACAGATATATACATATCTTTTAGCACTACATAATAATACATATTACCTTTTCCCACTCAGGTGTCCCACATAGAATATGTAGTGAGAATGTGAAGGGGCATTGGCAATATAAAAGGAGCAATTGTCCACAATACAAATCATACCTTTCTCGGCCTTTTGGCTAAGATCAAGTGTAGTATCTGTTCTTATCAGTTTAATATCTGATATGTGAGCCAATGGCTCACACGATATTAACTCAATTTCTTTAGGGGAAAGGCCCATTAAGGAAGCTTGCTTCTTGGGCCTTTGAGTGTCGCCTTGGTTTTGCACTATTGCCTTGGCTTGGCACACCCCAACAAGTCAAGTTTAACATTTTTATTGCATTGTATATCGACATATTGTGTATATATATGTGTGTGTGGTTATTGCTTCATTGGGACTTAAAAGCAAAAACTTAAGTAAATAAGCATACCTTTTTTTGCCATGAACAAAGGTGCCAGCGCCAAAGAGAGGAGGAGCTTTCGGAGTTTGTAACATTTTGTTGAATCAGAGAACAAAGACAGACAATATGTTTATATACGTTTTTTCCTATTTTATAGCATAACAATTTTCAGATTCTAGTAACAGAGCAGTGCAGACTAAGATACAGAATATAGCAGCGCTCCAATTGTTCATGCTATCCATCACCATTTTTCCTAAGTTTGCTAATGAGGTATCCCGATGTAAGAGTACATACAAGCAAGCTCATATCATATGCATCTGCGGTCTCTGCATCACTCTATAGCTTCAAGGCGCTGATTCCTTTCTGAGATTGTTTCATAACCAAATGAGTTGTGAGGAATAACCACATCTGCAAGCTATTCTAAATGGGAACTCTATAGGACGGATCGACCATTCTCAGAATGAATAGATTTCCTTGGTTACCCCTTGTTATCCTGAAAAGTTGCTAATATCTCATAAGCAAAATGAATAGGGTTGCAGAAGTTCATTAAAGAATCAGTTCATCAGATATGCGATTCATTGCTTAACTCCTAAAAAAAAAAATTGGATCATCAGGTATTGAACTATTGATCACAAGGTTTGAGTATTTACCGTAGATCTTCATCAAGATATGTGATTTCTATTTGGCCACGGCCACTCCCTCGTGCATTTATGGGTATCTGTGTATCAAAGAAAATTGTTAGAGATGAAATTCCGGGAAAGGATTAATCCGACAATCTTTACCTACCACACCAGCTATCTTGAAAGAATCAAACTTAACAGCAACTCTCTTTGCATTGATAGGAACTAAATTGGCGGTGGCCTGCAGAAGCAGAAATACATCCACTTTGACATCAATACGAAGCAAAAAAGATCAAACGCCATAAATTTAAAAGGAAGGAAGTAAACAAAAAATAGATCATAAAATATACTCTCAAGATCCTGCAAATACTCAGAAAGTATCATTAGGATGAGAGCCGTACAGCTGCATTTCATGTGGGAAACATAACACCATTACAAGTTTAAAGAACAAAAAGGGCTGGTAAATGCTAACATATTAGGACAACAACAATAGGATAGTCAATTTTAATTTGGTCGACATAATCAGCATAGCAACCTGATTGAAAAAGGGCCAAGTTTCCATATTCTGAGCCCTCAGTGTATCCACATTAATTGCCTGGTAGATTTTTCCATTCGGTCTAAAAACTTTGGGCCTCTGCATGCCATAAGAGAATAAGACCTTTGGTAAAGAAATAGCATAAACAGAAATGGCCATGGAGGGGATATGTAGCACTAAAGTTATTCATTGCCTCATCAAGAAAATCATATATACATGTTTTATATGATATTATTTGCTAGATATTAAGCGCAAAGGATGGAGCTTTAGAACCCGGGTTTGCAAAATAGATTCAGATGTTGTGTATAAAAGCTCCCATTGTCCATTCAACAAGCTGGACTTGAGTGGCTCCTTCACTTTGTTAACTGCCTCGAGTTTTCGTGCAATCTAAACACAAATTAGACCAGCCAGCATTAGGAACACAATTGGACATATATCACCACAACATGCACATTTTTGCATAACAAATTTCCCCAAATCTTTTTTTGTCTTGAATTACGGGAGAAACCCGTGATAAACCCTGTATCAAAAAGGCCATTAGGCTGCTCCCGTTGGAGCCAAACTTGTAACTTTGTGATTACCAAGTAAATAGCAGCAGACCAACTTGGCTGGTTCGGTCACAAATCATCATTTTCTTTCCACCATTACTAAAGGCTGAAAGTACAAACCGTTAGGGCACACAACAGCCCAAACCAGTGGTTCAAAGCCTCAATGAACCTAACATAATTCTCATGGAGTTTTAAACACAATGACTCATGTCTAAAATATGACTGATTGGCATCCAAAATCAATTTCCCATTCAGCAATGACTGCAAATACTGTGGTGAAATTAAAGAAAAACAAATGAAAGTGCAGTTTAAGCAACACCCACCTGATCAACAAGCTTTTGGTCTTCAGGAGTGGCATTGGCGCCTCGATCGAGAGGGGCAATAGCCTCAAGAAGTTCATCTTTCAAGCTCTCGACGTCTTGGCTTCTGCTCAAGAAAGAGAAAGAGACACGTGTCCTCCATTTCCAATACTGTGGCACTTGTTCTTTAAGGCTTTCGGACCAGCAATGGAAGGTGGAAGTACTTCCACTGTGGAGTTTAGGTGAAGCGGGCAGGATTATTCTTGAAGAGAGCTTTGCAGTGAGAGAAGAATGATCAGCACCGGAATAGAGAGGAGCTAAAGCTATGGAGAAAGGAATGGCCATTTCTGTTGTCTGGATAACGTAAGCAGGCTGACAGGCCGTCGTATAAATTCTTCCGTTTCTATTAATTTAGTTAGGAATAAGGTTCAAATTCGCTACTGAACGTAACACGAAAATGCAATTAGGTCATTGAACAGAAAAAAAAATGCAATTAGATCACTAAACACACAAAAAATGTACAATTTCACCTGGTAGCAGGTTACCCCCAATTTTAACAGATTATCCTCAATTTTAGCATGTTATCTGCTTACGTGGCAGCTGAGTTGGTATTTTTAATAAATTTTTAATAATAATTTTTTATAAAAAAATAAAAATAAAAACGACTGTATTTTGTTTTTTATTTAATTTTTTTTCATTTTTTAAATTTATTATTATTATTAATTATTAAAATTTATTAAAAATTCTTTAAAAATTATTAAAAATGCCAACTCAGCTGCCACGTAAGCAGGTAACCTGCTAAAATTGATGGTAACCTTCTATTCGGTGAAATTGCATACGTTTGGAGAGTTCAGTGGCCTAATTACACGTTTTTGCAGTGTTCAGTGGCCTAATTGCACTTTTTTTTTCGTTTAGTGACCTAATTGCATTTTAAGGTTACGTTCAGTGGCCAATTTGAACCTTATTCCATTTATTTATAAAGATTCAATATTCCATGACAAGCATATAACATTGTGACATTCACTTTCTTGATTTAAATCAATCATTTAGGTATAATTTAAATTAATTTATGGCATTATTTGAACTTGATTTACTTTGTTTTTTTTTTATTGATATTTATAGGGATTGTCCTTTGTCAAATCGTAATCTTCACTTGGTCAATATCAGATCTTAAACTATAGAAGAGACCGACATAACCTTTACCACTAAGACCGTAGGACTACCTGACCCGAATATCAAACCGAAAGAATCTGGCTAATAAACTGGAGATCAGTACTGGTGGCATTGTCCCAATCATTTTAGATCGGAATCGAGTCCCGACCTCCAGCACTTAGAACCCTACAACAACATAGATATGCGAACACGTGAATGATTCGGCCTGAGCCGCCGGCCTGACCTCTGCATGCAATCCACATGTCGTGCATGCCGAGAGATCGATACTTGCTCCTTGACGTTCCCTATAAATATTGCATTAAATGCGGATAAGGTGTACTTTTGGTCATTTCTATATAATTTTACTTAGTTCGAGAACCTCTAACTTACTGTCGAAGTTATCCGAACTTAATGACTTAAACTAACAAGCAGACTAGGCAAAAGCACTGTAATCAATACCGACCCTAGCACCATATAGAGTAGTAGAAACCCTGTATTTATTACATCAATCTAAGATCACAATACAGTTATCACTTGGAATACATCTTCCTGTAATGACGATAAACTTTTTCATAAATTAAAATGACACATGACACAAATATGTCTTGAGACTAAGTTAGGAATTATACATGAGTAAAATTTCTACACACAATGGATATTAGTTTTCTTGATCGTCACAAAATAAAATTAAAGATTTGACCCACAAAATTAGGCCATCAAAACTAACGGTTGGAAGAATTCATATAATCAAATACCCATGAACACTCAGCTCAAATAGCTCTTCACCATATACATATACAAATATTTCAAAAATATAGTAAAATTTAGCTCGACAACATTAATAAAACATTTATAATATAGCTGTTTCTTATTTCTCCTATGTATCCAAAAAAATATAAAAATTTACATACATTTTCTTTATTAATTATCACTCCTTAATAATAACAGATGCATCATATAATTATGATGAGTTTGAACCTTGGGCTGCTCACAATTTTTAACTAAAGATGGGTGAAGAAAATAAATCTTGAAATGTGTCTCAACTGGCCTTTTTTGCAGCATATAGTTACTATACGCCTTTTAGGGCAAGAGTTATATAATGGAGTTTTTTGCACTTTTAGTCCCACGACTATAGTGGCACTGGCAGAATTGGTCCACGACTTTTTAACCTTGCAATTTTAGTCCACGACTATTGATTTTTTTGCAAAAATGGTCCTTCCGGCCACTTTTCCGTCAAAATTTCACCGGAAAAAAAAAAAATTCTCTATTTTTAGCCGGGTTAAAATTGACATTTTACTTATCTCAAAAAATTAAAAGAAAAAAATTGATATTTGACTACATACAATATTACTGAGCTACATACTACTGCCCAGGCGACGGAGTTCTTAGAGCATGCAGGGCTGTCAGTAAGCGGCGGAGCGGTCGTGGCGTTCCCCAGGCTAGTTGGGTTATCCGGCAGCAGCATTAGAGTGGTACATATACTCCGCCGCCTGGGGCAGTAGTATGTAGCCCAGTAATATTGTATGTAGTCAAATATCAATTTTTTTCTTTTAATTTTTTAGATAAGTAAAATGTCAATTTTAACCCGGCTAAAATGGAGAATTTTTTTTTTCCGGTGAAATTTTGACGGAAAAGTGGCCGGAAGGACCATTTTTGCAAAAAAATCAATAGTCGTGGACTAAAATTGCAAGGTTCAAAAGTCGTGGATCAATTCTGCCATTGCCACTATAGTCGTGGGACTAAAAGTGCAAAAAACTCTTATATAATGTCTGAGTTTGTTTTTGGTGGTTCAAAAATTCTCTATATAGGTTACAGAAACCAGAGTACAACAAAATCTGGAACATCTCCTCATATGCTGTACTGGAGAGGCGAATTCAGACAGGGACTCTGTAAGAGGGATCCACCATTTTAAGGATGAACAGGTTGCCCTTATCACCTCTTGATACTCTGTTACAAGACACAACAACATAGATGACATGAATACACATGTGAATCAATGTGATTTTTTATTGGGTGACGCACAGATATTCAAACCCATGACCTTTGTTATGATATCAAATTGAAGCATGTGCTAAACAGATAGTTGGATAACAGAAGACACTGCCTTGATTACCTCAGTTCTTTGTCCAAGTAAGTAATATCCAGCGAGCCGCGAGCTGTATCAGGAGCTTTTATTGGTATCTGTCATCACCAGAACGAGTATATAATCGCGGCTACTAAACCAAGAAGGGGAAGGAAATCTTTATCCATGTACTTATATGTAGATTGTGTGTGCTTATTCTTTGTATTATCCACAATGATATAGCGTAAATATAAGTTGCTTATATTGGTTTATGCATATCAGCATTGTACATACCAGGCCTGCGATTTTGAAGTAATCAAACTTGACAGCCACCTTGCTTGCATTTACTGGTGTTAAATCTGCTGTCACCTGCAGAAATGTGAACCGAAGAGTCAATGTTGGCTCAACCAGATCTGCAGAGGGAGAAACCATTTGTTCCCCGCGAACAAACAGAACAAAATAGTTCTGGATAAAGCAAGTGCAAACAAAATTCGACTTTGTGAGAATCAGACCTTCGGGTCATCTTCAAGACTTCACTTAACTTATTTTTTCACAGTTTCATGACATATTTGAATATGTACTAATCAGCTCAACAAATTAATATTGTCCCACATTGATAATGCAGAGAGTATGTGGAGGTGTATGAGCAAAATAAAAGAAGTGGGCTGTCAACAGGAAAAAGCATACCTTTCTCGGCCTTTTGGCTAAGATCAAGTGTAGTATCTGTTCTTATCAGTTTAATATCTGATACGTGGGCCAATGGCTCACATGATATTAACTCAATTTTTTTAGGGGAAAGACCTGTTAAGGCAGCTTGCTGCCTGGGCCTTTGAGCATCGCCTTGGTTTTGCACTATAGCCCTGGCCTGGTACACCCCACCAACTATAATACAAATTTTTAGTTTTTTAGTTTTTTAGTTTATTATTACTGTATCAAATTAACATTAACATTTCTACTCTTTTCTTTGGGTGAATGTTTCTTCATTCTGAGGGACGGTAAAAATGGTGAAGAGTGTTAGGGTTAACTTCAGGAATCTGATTACCTGATTGAAAGTTGGCCAAGATTCCAAATTCTGGGCTCGAAGTGTATCAGCATTGATTCCTTGGTAGTTTGTTCTTGATCTTAAGAACTTTGGCCTCTGTTCACAATGATAATCTGTGAATACTCTCAATTTGAACAAAGAATTAGAAGAAGCGAGATTACAACAGAACATGAATGGGAATGGAAAACACAGGTTCCCATTACACTTTCTTTAGAAGGGCAAAGATTTGTAAAGGAGGATAAACAAAGGATATTTATTAGGTTCTTATAAATGGGAATGGAAAACACAGGTTCCCATTACACTTTCTTTAGAAGGGCAAAGATTTGTAAAGGAGGATAAACAAAGGATATTTAGGTTCTTATAAAGCAACACCAGAAACCACCACTACTAAAACCAGAGAGGAAAACATTGGTTCCCTTGTGTTTTTTATGCAACGATGATACATAATATAATGACAACACGCACACAACACAGTTTACTTGAATATCTCAATTCTCTTACACAGACATCAGTTTTCTAGGTTTGACTTACATTCGTTTGGAGAATCGATTGTGAAGTTGTGTATATAAGTTCCCATTTGCCATTTAGGAAAGGAGACTTCAGTGGCTCCTTTGTCGGATTGGCTGCTTCCAGCTTCCGAACAATCTGGTATAGAGCAAATAACAGTGAAAAACAACAAATATACACAAATGAATAGCTGCTCAAACAGGCAACGGATATTCTTTAAAATACACTGAAAATGCATTATTTTATATTTTTCTTAATCTTAAGCAAAATATTATGAGAATTTGGTTGTGAGCTAATAAGATCCATATGTAGTTTCAGAGAAAAGATATAACACACAACACCATTGAGCAAATAACACCCAGAACGAAGAATGGCCTACTTTAAAACAAACTTCCACATTCAGAAACTATTTTCTGTCATCGAGAGACACACTAATAGTGCAGTATAATAAAAAAATTTCATTTGTCAAGTACCATCCAACAAAACATCGACAACAACAAGAACGTATAAGTAAACTAAGGTGCATTGCGTCCAAGGCTCTGGTTAACTTATCAAAATATACTAATCAGCACTACAAACTATTGTTTCCCCAGCTCAAGTCCCACATTGATAATGCAGAAAGGCTGTGAAGGTGCATGAGCAACATAAAAGAAGTGGGCTGTTCACAAAGAAAAGCATACCTTTCTCGGCCTTTTGGCTAAGATCAAGTGTAGTATCTGTTCTTATCAGTTTAATATCTGATACGTGGGCCAATGGCTCACACGATATTAACTCAATTTTTTTAGGGGAAAGGCCCATTAAGGGAGCTTGCTTCCTGGGCCTTTGAGTGTCGCCTTGGTTTTGCACTATTGCCTTGGCCTGGCACACCCCACCAATTCTAGTCCAATTAATCTGATTTGAACTTTGACAAGTCTTTGTTAAGGTGGCCTTTGTTCTGTAACTTTGTTCTCTCCAATCAGCCAGATATATAACATAGATAATTAATAATTAATTGTAAACAATATTCAGCGGCCTAACCCCAAATTCCAACACAACTGACTTTGTTCTCCATTCAAAAGCATAAACAATTGTAAACAACCAACCAAATGATTCTCTTGAAATGTTAAAGGAAGCATAATGTGCAGACATAGACTTCCAAAATTTTCTTAGCTTATGAAAGATATATACATATCTTTTAGCACTACATAATAATACATATTACCATTTCCCACTCAGGTGTCCCACATCGAATATGTAGTGAGAATGTGAAGGGGCATTGGCAATATAAAAGGAGCAATTGTCCATAATACAAATCATACCTTTCTCGGCCTTTTTGGCTAAGATCAAGTGTAGTATCTGTTCTTATCAATTTAATATCTGATACGTGAGCCGTTGGCTCACACGATATTAACTCAATTTTTTTGAGGGGAAGGTTCATTAAAGTAGCTTGCTACTTGAGCTTTCATGTGTCGCCTTGGCGTTGCACTAAAGCCTTGGCCTGGCAAACCCTACCAAATTTAGTCCAATTTTTTTTTTATTATAAGAGAAACTTGTACTATCTAATACTGTGGACTTGGTAAGTATTTAATTTATTTTGTTAGTTTCTATAATTGCTCGTAAATCATACACAAGAGCGGAGGGGACGGGCAGTAGTAAAAGACATTACTAAGATAAGAAAGTAAAAACTAAAAAGGCAGCAGTTAAAAAAGTAATTAGAAATGGGTGGTCCAAAATGAATGAACGAGAACAAAAGAAAATGGACCAACTTGCTCAATCTTTTCTTGATCTTCAGGAGTGGCATCCGCGCCACGATCAAGTGGCGCAAGAGCTTCAAAGAGTTCTTCTTTGATGGGCTCTGGGTCTTTGGTTTTGTTCAAGTTCAAGAAGCCTGGGAAGAACGAAACACTGGCTCTCCATTTGCAAGGGGCGGAAATGCTGGCAAGCCCACTGCTACTATGGCCGTTGTGGGTGGCGGGGAAAGAGAAGGCGGCGGCGGAGAGAGAGTGAGTGTGGAGGAGCTTTGGGTGGTTGTGGGCGGAGGAGTGAGCAGCGATGAGCTGCGTCGCCGGAGCTGAAAGTGTAGAAAATGCCATGGGGCCGGAAGTATATGAATAATGAAGAAAGTGGAGGTTTAGTGGGCGGTGAGATTTGTATTTTGTGGTGGAGAAAATGTTTTATTTTTCATCCATTTAATGGAATTATGAGCTCAGAGTTTTTTTTTTTTTTTTTTTTTTTTTAATGAGCTTGCAGAGTTATAAACACATAATACCATTAATTCTCTTTTTTCCTTACCCTAAACAAAATAATACTCTTTAATATAAATTCTAATAATATTATCCGTAATTTTAGCTCGTAAATAATTACACAAAAAATTTAAATTTAATAGTTGAAGGACAAAAAAAGTAATTTAATTCCTTCTTATATTCGCTTGCCGTGAGAATTGACTGCTCTATACTTGAAAAAAAGGATACTCCCATCTAATCTAGCTCATAGCCAACTCTCATTTCCAAATTACCAGCTCATAGACTCATAGTTCTTGTTCTACCTGTACACTCCTTTCATCCGAGGATAGAAGCTTTAGGGAGGAGTTGATTAGAGCAACATTATAAGTTGGGAAGAATGTGGGGAGAATGTAAGAGTGATTAGGAAAGAAAATGTGGGAGGGGAGAGAAAAAAAAAAAGAAAAATTGAATTTAAAAAAAAAATTATAATTGTTAGGCGTGTCTGACGCGCCTAGCCGGAGCGTGCACTGTATGCCCCCGGATGCAATAGTTACACCAATTCTGAATTATTCTAACCCCTGCAGGAGAGTTCTTTTTTAATTATTTCCTTCCCACACTAACTTTGCTCCTTGTTTTACAAGAATTCATTCTAACAAAACTTGGAATAATCCACTATAGTGGATGCTCTTACCATTCTTACGGTTTAGGAATTGATTTAAAAATTATTTCTTTTTATTAATTAGATAAGCAAGAGAGTTAATTTGAAAGTTGACTAAACACAACAAAGTCACTATATTCAAAAACTACTATAGTATTAAGTCTAAATTTATTTATCTAAATTAGTGGAAAGGAAAATCCATTTAGAGAGATTTTGACTGCCAACATCATCAGGTCAACATAAGGCAACGGTACAAAAAATGTCTTCAAAAAATTATTGAAAAACATGGAAAATAAGAATATTAGAAATGGATTAACAACCGCGCAGCCGTGTAGGTGAACGTTTGTCTTCTTCGAAGACCAATCATAGTTTCTGTGTGAAACATCCCCTTGTCTAGTTGTCTTCTTCGGCGCACCGGCTAATGCTTTTCATCTTCTCGGGGGATCAGAAAATCCAGAGGATTCAATGATTCCTGAATCTCCGTAACGAGAAACGGGGAACAAAACGATGTACTGCAAGTTGGGAAAGGCCCCTCCAGCTTTCCCAGTTTTTCCCCAGCCTCGACAGCATCACCCAATCTTGTTCAGGATTCTGTGCTGTGGCGATAAGAACTCTGACGCTTCCTCCTCCTCTTCTTCGGCGTCAGAGAATAGCAAGTTCCGGTTTAAGCTCGCGGGTAGATCGTTGGGCGACGGGAAATGGAAGTTCAATGATATTGATGCCAGTAGGTTTTCAAATTTCAATTCCCTCCTTCTGCTCGATTGCTATTGCTTAGTTAATTTGGTATTTGACATGGTAGCTAATGAGTTTTAGCTAACGATGAATAACAAAATTGTCTATAATCTATCTGGTGAGGTTCTAGTTTATTTCCCAGATTTGTTGTGACTCTCATTTTCCTTTGTTTTTTCTCTTTTGGAACCTCAATGAGTGTCTATATGTGTCTAGATATCAGTATAGATTGAAAACTTATCGCAATTGAGATAAATAGTGTGCAATTAAACCATTAACAAGTAAAATATGTGCAAGATATTTTCCAATTTTTCTCGGTAGAATCCGGTAAAGAATCGCCCTTTTCTCATACTAGTTCAGATGAAAGGTTGAAATGTTTTCAACTTAAAACGCATTAAAAGAAATCATAAAAATATCCTAATTGCACATATTTTGCTTGTTTGATGGTTCAATTGCACACATTTTAAGTTCAGTTCAGTGACCCAATTGCACGAAAGCTGTAAGTTCAGTGACCTATTTGACACTTGTTCCAAAAAAAAAAAAACAAATTTGTTTGTTCTTGTTATTATGGAGCATGACCTTGGTACCAATTGCCATCTAGTGCAACATTTTTAAAGAAATTGGTGGTAAATGTTACAGAGCAATTGCTGTAACTTTGTTCATAAAATGTTGTTGGCAGCCATACTTTGGTTTGGTTGATTACAGGGACAATCCCTCATCCAATTTGAAGTTCCGCTGCAGTAGGCTTCAGCCATTTTTACTATGGCCTATAAGACTAAGACTGGATACTTTTTGTATTTCCTTCACAGATTCAGTGCAAGAATCATTAACTCAATGGCTGTCAAAGACCCAAAACTTTCTGCATGACGTCACTTCACCATTGGTAAAAACTGTCAACGATCGAAGGTCTACTTTACGGGATCATGCTCAAGATGTGGATGAGATATTCCTGTCTGAACAGACTGTTGATAGGCAAACACCAAGTGGGGAGCTTTCAGTGGCTGCTATTCTCTCCGTTGAGCAATTCAGCCGGTGAGGATGCTTCAACTGATTTCTTGCACCAACTTGGTTTATGTTGTGGGGTCCATTGTAGAGTCTTTCCATGTTTTAAATTTGCCTCAAAAAATAACCACACTTGAATAGAACGTAGTATCTTTACCGGGGTCTTTACATGAGATGAATATAATTCTTTTTTTGGAAACACCTAACTCGGTGTTAGTTCTCCATGCACAAGCTCTCAATTTCAACTGAGAAAAGTTTAGTTTTGAATCCCTTAGCCATATAATGGCATTCTAAAAATTAGGTGAATCAAAATTGACTGATTGCCATCCCTCAAATTTCGGAGATCACAAACTTTAGTCTTTCGTTTAGGCATTGGATTAAGATGGAAGATGTGGGCTGGGTGGATATTATTGTAATTCCATTAGCCCTTTCTTTAATATTTTACTATGTTTAATTAGATATGCCATTAATTTGTGCAGCCCTGTAACTTATTGTAGATTTGTAGTAACTATATTTGACTTTTCAAAACTAATATATGCACTTATGCAGGATGAATGGGTTGACCGGGCAGAAAATGCAGAAGATTTTTAAAGCTCTTGTTCCTGAATCTATCTATAATGATGCCCGCAATTTGGTGGAGTATTGCTGCTTTAGGTTTCTTTCAAGGGATAGCTCCGAAATTCATCCTTGCCTTAAGGTTTTATCATTTGATGTTTCTCTTTCAGTCTTCTTCCTTTTAAGTTAAATTGTGTCCATGCTGTAGAAAACCCATTGTCATGTTTTCGAACATGGAGACTGACATGTTTTTTAGCATGCGACTCCCAATTCTCCTTTCAGTTTATCAAAAGTTTTTGGTGAAATTTTGTATTAGTTGGGTTTTTATGGTCTGAAGTAGTATGACATACAATGGATTTGCAATTAGGAATATTTTAACAAGCGTTTTTTAATGCTTAAAAGCCTATCTTCGGTATTATAAGTTGACTCTCCTTATCTGTTCACTGCACTTTTTAAATGATGTTATGGTTCTTTTTACAGGAACCTGCATTCCAAAGACTGATATTTGTAACTATGCTTGCATGGGAAAACCCCTATAGTAGCAAGAATGACTCTTCAATTGAATCGCTACAAAAGGATTCTTTTCAGGTGTTTTCCCACTCCTTATATTTCTATCTGTTCATTGTTTTACATTTCCTTTTCTACTTGTTTCAAAATTTTGTAAATTCTTGTGCTGGAATTGAATCCAGATTTTAGTTATAGCATTATTTTGTGTGTGTGTGTGTATGTGTGTGGGAGGGGGGGGGGGGGGGGGTTCCTTGGACCTCGGGGTACTTGAAAGAATTTTCAGAGAACAAAAATTTTCTAACTTTTAGAATAATTGTAATGAAGCTAATTATTGAGATGACTTAAAGTTCAAGAGCTTTCTCTATTCTTGAAATACATGTGTACCTTCAAATATTTGGTAAATATTTATTTATTTATTTATTTTTATCTTGTGATTCTATGCAAAATTTTAAAGCTACAACTTTACCCTGTTTCATTATTTTTGTCAAAAGTTGAAGGGAAGATTGGTAAGGGAAGAAGCTTTTGTTCGTATTGCTCCTGCTGTTTCTGGTGTGGCTGATTGGTCAATAGCACACAACCTTTTCAAAGCACTGGCCGACAATGAACAGGGTATCTCAATCACCTCATGGTCCACATATATCAATGAACTTCTCAAGTGAGCATTATCTCCCATAAGTTTTCTTTTTTAAATGCTTTAGACCCTCAATCTTTAAAATGTGTTACAAACTATGATGCTGAAATTATGGTGATTGATCGCACAATTACATTTCTACACATAGAAATTCCCATGATTTCTTTCATTTGGTCAACGTTCTGATCATTCAGGAAAAGCAAGTTAGTCCTTTTAAACTAGGAAATTACTTATTTTTATTTTTATTTTTTAATTTAAATTTTAAAAAATGCATATATGGTGGATATGATGAAATTACATTTCTTTGTAAATTTCAGATTATTAGCAATCTGTTCTTACTTTTTACAGGGTGCATGAAGGATGGAAATCATATGAACTTCGAGAACTCCCCCAGATTTCTAATAATGAGAGAATTCTGTGCATTGCTTCTGGCGGGAAGTACCCAGTTTTAAAATGGAAGAATAATATGGCATGGCCTGGGAAACTAACTCTAACTGATAGGGCACTGTACTTTGAGGTACAAGAAATTCCATACAAAATTTATTTTGATATGGTTAATTGAGGCCGTATACATGAAAGTGGATAGGAAAAGAGCTAGTGTCCATCCTGTTCAAATTGCCTCTAGTTTTAATAATCTATTTTTGTTTTTTGTGTTGGCCTTATTAGTTGGTAGCAAAATGCTCCACAAATGCATTTTGGTGGTCTATTGAAGTCATATGCATCGTAACTAGCAGGAAAAGAATTAGTCTGATGCTTGTTTGGGTTGCTCCAGTTCTTACATATTTCACTGTTCTTCTAGGCGGTAGGTTTGAAGGGACAACGAGATGTATCACGACTTGATCTCACAATGGATGGTTGTAATGTTAAGAAAGCAAGGGTTGGCCCTTTGGGGTTTGATCTTCTCGACTCTGCTGTTTCGGTCTCTTCCAGCCCGGAGTGAGTCAGCTTCTCCAACATCACTTAACTACATGCATTCCTCATTGCAATGTATACTATTTCTTGCTTGCGGGATAGAATATTTTTCTTTTGATGATATAATAGGGTAAAAAGTCAAGTTCCGACCAACTAACTTCCGAAAAGGTGTTTTTTTTTTTTTGGGATTAGACCACGAGGTGTTCTGAGCAGGCCCTAACTGTAGGAGACACCTTTAAGCCCGTACCATAATAAGACTAATCCCTGTTCACACCGGCCCGGCCCAATTAAGGGGCAAAGTGCTGGCCAAATTGATTTTTCCAATTAAGGTGTTCATTGGTTTTGACACACACACACATGAACACTTTAGCTCGTGATAATGGTTGGCCTATAAAGACATGTGATTTAATATAAGCAACGAGAACTTGTGGATTGGCCATAGCTATCTTAATACTAGAACTAGGAAGCCATTAATTTGTATAATGAACACCCGCTTTGTTTTTGGGATGAACGGTTTCATTTTTGTTTTTTTGGACCTTGTATGTATGACAGGTCTGAAACGTGGGTATTAGAATTTGTTGATTTGGGAGGCGAGATGAGGAGAGATGTGTGGTATGCATGCATCAACGAAGTTATTGCTTTATACAAGTTCATACGACGATTTGGGCCCGAGGATGGCGATCAATCAGTCTATAATGTATATGGTGCTCAGAAAGGCAAGGCGAAAGCGACCACTTATGCTACCAATGCAATAGCAAGGCTTCGGGCACTTCAACTTTCCCGGAAGCTCTTAGATGACCCCAGTAAATTGGTTCAATTCTCGTATCTGCAAGATTCACCTTACGGTGATGTTGTGTTGCAAACTCTAGCTGTCAACTGTTGGGGTGGACCGTTGATTTCAAAGGTTGCGGAAGAGTATCAACCGGGATTGCAATCTAGGCCCTCGAACGAGATGGCTGTAACTCATGCGTTCGACATAGATGGAAGTGTATACTTGCGGAATTGGATGAGGTCTCCAACTTGGGCTTCTAGTTCCTCGCTTTCTTTCTGGAAGAACTCGTCATCGAGGCAGCAGGGGATAGTGTTCAGCAAAAATCTCGTGGTTGCTGATAAGAATTTGATGGAAAAAGCCGCTATGGCGTGGAGAGACAGATGCAGGGTAGTGGAGAAAACGCAGGCCACGATAAACGCGGCAATCATTGAAGGAATCCCTAGCAATATAGACCTTTTCAAGGAACTTATGCTGCCTTTAGTCATCACTGCCAGCAACTTCGAGAAGCTTAGACGATGGGAGGATCCCCCGCTAACCGCCTCGTGTCTTGCACTCGTGTACACGCTCATTTTCAGGAACATGCTGTCTTATGTATTCCCAGCAACCTTAATGGTCCTGGCGGCAGGCATGCTACTACTGAAGGGGCTGAAAGAGCAAGGGCGCCTCGGGAGATACTTCGGGAAAGTTACCATTCGGGATCAGCCACCATCAAACACAATCCAGAAAATCATCGCAGTGAAAGAGGCAATGCGCGAAGTGGAAAAGTATCTGCAGGGCCTCAACGTTTCGCTGCTCAAAATACGATCGATCATTCTCTCTGGGCAACCACAGATCACGATGGAGGTTGCTCTCGCACTCCTATTCAGTGCTACCACTCTGTTGATTGTTCCGTTCAAGTACATTCTCGCCTTTGTGATCTTTGATCTGTTCACGAGGGAGCTCGAGTTTCGACGACAGATGGTTCTGAGATTCATGAGCTTTTTGAAAGAGCGATGGGATACCGTTCCAGCAGCTCCAGTCGTCGTCTTGCCATACGAAGATGGTAAGCCGGAGACAGTTAGCCAAAGAAAAGAACTCAACAGCAGCAGCAGTGTAAGAAAATCGGAAAAACACTTGGACAACTAGGTGGAACAATATACATTTTCATGTATACATACATTTGTAGAGCATTGTGGTTGACTGGTGTAAAGGAAAGTAGAATGTAATTTTCCTTTATAAAGTTTCCTTTCATTTTATTTGGAGTCAAAGGGAACATTAATAAAGGAGAAAAGAGGGTTGATAGATCATGAAGATGTTTTACTTGTGCTTCTACTTGGTACTTGTTTGGCTGTTAGACATTGATAAATAATATTCGCTCAGTCTTATTTACTATTTATTGGTCAAATCAAACCTTCTTCTTTAATTACTTTTTTTTTAGTATTTTTTACTTATTTTCAAATTTGATTTTTTTTGCGGGTTTAATAGTACTTGAAGTGTAGTTTCTAAATATATAACTTTTACATACTACTACTAATTTGGAAAAAATAATAATTCTTTTTGAATAGCCTTTTTTTTCGAGTACTTCTGACTGTATTACATTGTAGTATGAGAGAGTCACTACATGTCATTTTAGCACAAGGTGCTTGGCTCTTCTTGAATAGCCTAATTTGCATAAAACCTAGGGAGAAAGGAGGACATGTTCTCGTTATTAAAAATCACATTTCTTTAAAAAAAAATTATCATTATTCAACTATTACACGAGCAAGAATAACATTTCTTTCTGAATTCATCATTATTCGACTATTACACGAGGGATTAACTACGGGTTTCTTTTGTCATTAAAAAAAAATGACAAAAAAATCAAATCTTTTGACAAAATACAATAATTGATTGCTACAAATCATGACTATTTATTCTTCTCATGATCTTTCTTCTTGGCATGATAATTCTTGGAGTGGAAGTCTAGGAATAGTGCCAAAAGGGAAGCATTGAAAACAGCATTGAAGCACCAACCCAGTATTCCGGAGCAACCCGACCCGGTAAAGTGATAATACAGCATCAAGCCCGAAACCATAAAGCTAAAGACAAACTGGATAATCTGACAGTCTGTGACCAATCTCTTCCACCGCGGACGGCGGCCGAGGGTGCAGAGCAAGTAATAGCCGTACATTAGCACGTGAACTGACGCGTTGGTGACAAGCGCCACCGGGAGGAGAGTCTGCGCCGTCGATAGCCAGAGGTAGCACATGACCACCACCACGGCGTGGTGGTAGACGTGGAGGAAGGAGAGCCGCCGGGAGCGGGAGCTGGACCCACCGAGGACGATCAGGAGGGTATCTATAAATTCCAGAATCTTCGAGAAATAGAAGACGTGGGCCCAGAAGAATGTGGGCCCGCGCGGGGGGGTGTGATTGGCCGGGAAGCAGACCGCCCATCTCCAGTCGCGATTGGGCATTTGATGGAAGGCGGCGAGGGAGCAGCCGACGGCCATGACGAGGGAGAGGAGGCAGAGGATGAGGTTGTGCGCGGCGGTGATGAAGCGGAGGGCGACGGCGGAGAGCGGCGGGAGGAAGGCGAAGCGGTGGAGGGAGAGAGTGACGGCGAGGTAGGCGGTGACTGTGACGGCGAGGAAAAGTGGTGAGGAGCCTAATGTGTGGCCTTGTTTCCACTCGTATTGGGTGATGGCTGGATGCTCCACCAGCCAGTAGTGGACGGCGGAGAAGAGAGCCTCCATGGCCGCGACAGAGGAGAAAAGTTTTCTCTACGGTTTTGAGGCTCAACGAGAGTTGAAAAGGAAATGGTCAGATAAGGGTTAAATTAGTCAATGTGGAGAATATCAGCCGACAGCCGGCGGTTGTATACTCCGTTAGTACGGTCGGATAACGCCGCCGTCATCCGCCTCTGGCGGTCTACTATAGCCCACTAGCACAGTTTGTTTGGGTGGGCCTGACAAAACCCTTCTGCAACATCTCGGCCCAAATTTGTTTAGTATAGCCCATATCTCAGAATAAGGCAAATTATTCTGTGGACCGGGTCCACTTACAATATGGATCCGGGTCCAAAGATACACAATTTACATATTAAATGTTCACAATTTACGATGATTTTGTATTGTATTTACAAATTTTAAAATCACAATTTATATTCTAAATGTTCACAATTTTAAATTCAAATACTAAAAATACAAAAATTTTAAAATAAAGATCCACCTTACAAGATGAACCTTGGTCTATGGGATAACTACTGTCGGAATAGTGAATTCTTGGGCTCTTGGCAGAAAACTAATGCATATACCATGGACCATGATCAATATAGCAAGGTGTTCATTTTTATTTATTTTTTATTTTTTGATACATTAACTATTTCAATTTATGCTAAATTAATCTTATGCGCTCGAAGGGCTATCAATTACCAGGTTTTCATCCCTGTCAATATATTATGCACTAACCTTGTGGAGGCACTGAGCAAGGTGTTAATTTTTTGTATACTACAATTTCATTTTAACGTACTACATATACTAAAAATAAATTTGTATTAATGTACTTTTTGTAAGGGGCAACTCTAATTGAATTGGTCGGACAATTAATTTGGTAATCAAAAGGTTAAATTTGACTAGAGACCTAGAGTTATCTATTGGTATTCTTGAACTATGGGCAATCTAGCGCCTATCGGGTTTACCTCATTATAGTCCATTATCAATTAGAATTACAAGACGAATTTCTCTGTAAATCAAAGATTATTTCTTAATCCAGTTGTCTCACCCATTAGATGTGCTTACAATTCAGCAAGAGAATTAGTGATTATGTGTCAGACGTGAAAATCGTGGGTATACTAAAAAAATAAAATATTTCTTAATTAACAATAAAACATAAATATTATTACCCAAAAAAGAGGAGTTTTTTTTTTTTTTTGAAGGAACATAATGCAAAAAAGGTGTTTCATTAGTTAAATATGATGTGCATAATCCACGAGCGTAAGCTAGCATTATGAAAAGAAGTAATCAAAAACTGCATTCCATTCATTGCACACTGCACGACAGATTGAAAGTTTGCCCATTTCTTACTTGTTCTTTACTTATGGCGAGAGGAGACATGAAGGATGAAGAAAAGATAGATTATCTGCAGAATGAGCAAACCCAAACCCCTTTTGTTTTCTCTCTAATGGAAAACTACAATCCCAGAAAACCATCCTTCTGTGTCTTCCCTCCTTTCCATGAACGCCATGCATTTGTATAAAACCCTTCTTTCTGTTCATTCCTTTCAATTCCATTTCAAAAAGAAAGAAAAAAACCCCATTCCTGATAATAATGTCTCTGAACCCGGTTTCACGCACTCGTGTCGTCGTCAATGGCGTCCGGAGGATGAGAACTTATCATTACTACTGGTGCAGGCGGTGCCGGAGATCAATCAGGACCGTTTCGTCAAACCCGGCCGGAATATTATGCCCATGTTGTTTCGGAGAAATCAGGTACGAGCTTGATGTTTCCAGGCCGAGGATCGTGTTGGGTTCCAGAACCAGGCAGGAATTAGAAGAGCCATGGGCAGGAGCGCGCTTGCTTGACGCATTGGCTAGAATTCTGGACCCCCCACTCAGCCAAGAAAATCTTGAAAATGAAGATGAAAATCTCCAGCTTCATCGTTCTCGGATTCTCTTGCAGTTTATCGGCCCTGAGCGTGAGCCTCCCCGGCCTGTTTCTCCAAATGAAAATGCTCTGTTTTACTTGCCTGGTAACATGGGTGCTGGATCTGATGAGAATGGGATTGAAGGGCTAATTCAAGAACTGACTCAGAACGACCGGCCAGGGCCGCCACCGGCGGCGCCTTCCGCCATTGAATCTCTGCCGAGAGTGGCGATCACCGCTGCTCATTTGGCCGGCGACTCCACTTGCCCTGTCTGCAAGGATGAGTTTGAGGTTGGGGAGGAAGTGAGGGAGCTTCCCTGCAAGCATTTCTACCATTCACCCTGCATTATCCCATGGCTGCAAATCCACAACACTTGCCCCGTTTGTCGGTGCGAGCTGCGAGGATTCTCAGACCAAAATGTACGAGAAAACAGGCATTCTAGTAACCATTTTCACTATGAAGATGAAGATGAAGAAGATGAAGATATTAGGAAGAACAACCCGCTTATCTGGGCATTGACTCAGGTTTTATCTTTATGGCCTTTCAGTCTGCTGTCAAATTGGATGAGCAAATTCACCAATCCTTTAGAAAATAGAGCTTCAGCTTCCTCTGGAGGTCATGGTATTATCTGATAAGTTTGTTTAGTTAAACCTTAGAGATGCTCTCTGAAGCTTGGTTAACAGGGTGGTTGTTGTGTCTTGAACAGAGAGATTGTGGTGGAGGTCTTGGTTCAGAGATTGACCATGGCGGCCATGGCTGCATCAGAGGCTTGTTATCTTACAGAAACACATGATAGAGAGTAGCTTTTATCATTCATGTTTCAGTTGGCAGGTATGTTTGTTTGTATTCAACTATATCTCATGGACAGAAACTGATTTGGAAATGGAATCTAGGACTAGCAGTTAAAGGTATGTACTTTCTACATTACTCAGCTGCAAATGACCCTTCTTTGCTTTGTCCACAAAAGGTGAAATCCTTGTTCCCAGAGCCCCACACCCCAGTCTGACAGGAATAAAGACGAAATCCTTGTTCCCAGAGCCCCACGCTCCAGTCCAACAGGATTAAAATAATTAACTTCAACACTAGGCACTGGTCCTCACGATTAATGGGTCGAGCCACTGTGATTTACTCCTCCCCTATCCTGTCGGGGCCTGAGTGTGGCCTATTGTGGGGAAAATAATTAACTTGGACAATAGATTTCTGTTATGTTTGTAGTTAAATGCAAATTGGATGCCTTAAAGACATTCTTAGGTCATATCACTCATACTAAGCTAACAAAATTTTTGGTAGGTTTTATTTGTTGCAGGTTTCATACCATGAGATGGTTGGAGAGAACAGACAGTTTCAGAAAAGGGCAAGTCTTTTATGGGTGCAGAGAAGAAAGAAGAATATGAGAGAGAGAGGTAGATGGAATCATGGAAAGATGACATGTTCAATTTGTTCAACTTGGTGTAGCAATGGAAGACCAAGTGATTCTTACAGATTTGGAGGATAGACATAACCATTTCAGCTAATAAAATTGCAGTTTGAGCAGAAAAACTTTACCAACCACAGTAATAATATGCAGATTTTTATGCAACTCAAGTTCCAGAAATAGTTACATCAAGATATTCAGAAAGGCACCAGCAGAGTTCTTCTCAAAGCTCAATTTTGAATTAGTTGGAGTTTAATGTGATCACCAGATATTCAGAAAGTATACCCAAAGAAAAAGGTTCAATCAAGCATGGCCTAACATCAAGGTCACAGTCTGAACTACTCAAAAGTTCAAAGATGTCTAAATCCTACTAACCAAAAAGACAGAGACTCAGAAGACTTGGAAAAGAAGATCAGTTGACTACTCTTAGCTCGTTACACATTGAATAAAAAACAAAAAAAAACAAAAAATCAGCAGCCCAGACAATTGCAAAAAAAATATTCACATATATCATCTCAATTATACAGTGTATATAACATATGCAAATTTATACAATTAAAATCCTGGCAGAGATTATTCAGGCTCTGATACCAACTGTAAGATAAATTATATATGTCACATGGAAACATGAATACGTGACAATAAGGATCGTAATATAAATACTACTGCTTGTAGTCTACGTGAGTATATCTTGGTTTAGTCTCTCACTTCTGCTCAACTCTCTCTAGATGGTGTATGAGGAAAGTATGTGAGCAGTGAGAGGACGGGTGACCTTAACCACCACATAACAAACACTTAATATTATCCTGACTTATCCTAACGTTATAATAATAAATACGAAAACGTTACAAATTTTTGGTAACTTTAATGAGAATCACATTCTCCACATTCTTAGGTTATGTGAGATTCTAGAAAATGTTATATTACCTCAAAATATCCATTAAACCAACCACCCCGGCCCCATAGAATCAATTATAAACTTGACTTTCAAATGAAGCTGAGTGGTTCTGATACTCTCTAAGAGTAAACAACCTTGAGTGGCTATGCCAATTGCCTTCTCTGAAGGTTGTTGACTTGAGTGGGGTAGATCCAGTAAGGAAATTATATGGTTCTGGTTCCCTGTATGTGAGTAGCTTGTTGAGGATAAATCTCCAAGTTTCTTAGATTTATCGTTGAACAATCTATCAGGACCAGTCCCTGATTGCTGGGTAAATGTGACAGAGCTAATTGTCTTGAATTTGGGTAGAAACTTCCTCTTTGGAAAAATACCTCTATCACTAGGGAACCTGGAAAAACTATGCAACTAAAAACCAAAAAAAAGTTCAATCAAGCCTGCTCCCAGGTCAAGGTCACAGTTTAAACTACTCGAAGCTCTGAAGATGTCTAAATCCCACTCACCAAGCGAAGAAAGACTCTGAAGACTTGGAAAATAAGACATGCGCGTTTACCACTACTATATAGTAGCTCCTTACACCTCGAATGCTACATAGGAATAGAACTTGTCATTTGTGTTTCTGCAACTCTGTTTTCTTTGATGAACTTGACTGTTTTCAGGGATTCACCATCAATCTCCATGGGAGCTAGGAAGTTGTTCATCCTTCACCTCCTCCTACTTCATTTAGCTCATTTTTCTTCTGTTGCAGTAAGTTCTAACATCATCCGTTGCCCTGAAACTGAAAAAGATGCCCTTCTTAACTTCAAACAAGGGTTCACAAACCCTTCACGCCTGCTTTCCTCATGGATTACTGAGCAAGATTGCTGCAAATGGGAGGGTGTTGAGTGCGACAACAGAACCGGGCATGTCACCACTCTTGATCTTCACAGCACAAGTCAAGCTGACTCCTTGCGAGGTGAGCTTAGGAATTCATTGCTTGATTTGCCGTATTTGAGACATCTAGACCTTAGCCACAATGATTTTCTCTATAGTCAAATTCCTGATTTCATTGGCTCTTTCAAAAACTTAGAGTACTTGAATCTTTCAAGTGCCAACTTTAGAGGGATAGTGCCTGATCATCTTGGAAATCTTTCGCACCTTCAGTATCTTGATCTGAGTGGTTCTGGTGGCAATCTAAGAGTAAACAACCATGAGTGGCTAAGCCAACTATCCTCTCTGAAGGTTATTGACTTGAGTTGGGTAGACCTCAGAAGTTGGAATAGTTGGCTTGATGCAATCAACATGAAACCATCTCTCAAGAAGTTAAATCTATCTGCCTGCAATCTTTACTCTCTTCATATTCCCCCTACACTGCCTTTTCTTAATTTCACTTCTCTGCAAATTCTTGATCTCTCACATAACCCTTTTGGGTCTTTAATACCAAGTTGGTTATTTAACCTCAGCAGTCTTGCTACTCTGAACCTAAAAAACAGTGAGATCCAGGGTTCAATTCCAGAGACTTTCCAGACCATGACCTCACTCACAGTACTTGATCTCTCAGAAAACAATCTCAGAGGCGAGTTACCATCTGCACTGCCATCACTTTTAAAAGAAGTGCGCTTCTCTGGTAACCGCCTAAATGGTTCTTTAGCCAAAAACATCATGCACCTTAAGCATCTAGTAGTTTTGGATGTTGCTCGGAATTCTTTGAAGGACACACTTACTCAAGGGTCACTCAACTTCAGTGATTTGAAGGAATTGGGTTTATCTTATAACTCAATTGTCCTGAAGATGAGCCAAAGTTGGATTCCCTCTTTCCAACTTGATGTTATAGCCCTACGATCTTGTCAACTAGGGCATCGCTTCCCGAGTTGGCTTAGGACACAGAAAACCATATCCTCCGTTGATATCTCTGATGCTGGCATTTCAGACAAGGTACCTGACTGGTTTTGGGACCTCTCTCCTGCAATGGAGCATATGAATCTTTCTTGGAACCAACTTAGAGGTGAAGTGCCAGATTTGTCAAGATTTAATCTCTCGGTAGTGGACTTGACTGGGAACCATTTCCAAGGACCTCTGCCACATTTTTCCTCAAGGATGAAATTTTTTATTCTAAAAAGGAATTCTTTCAGTGGTACTGTTTCCCCTGTATGTGAATCACTTGTTGAAAATAATTCTCTAAGTTTCTTAGATTTATCATCAAATGAGCTATCAGGACTACTCCCTGACTGCTGGGTAAATGGGACAGAGCTGATTGTCTTGAATTTGGGTAGTAATTTCTTCTTTGGAAAAATACCTCACTCACTTGGATATCTTGAAAATCTCAAGATTTTAAAACTGGGCCAGAACAATTTCTTGGGAGAGCTGCCTTCATCGTTTCAGAACTTGAGAAAATTGACTGCTTTTTATGTTGCTTCAAATAAGCTAACTGGAAATATACCAATATGGATTGGGGAAAGTTTGAAAGACATAATGCTTCTTAGTTTATGGGGAAACCAATTTAGTGGAGCCATTCCTCCTCAACTTTGCAGACTTGAGTACCTAATGGCTTTGGACCTTAGTAACAATTCATTGACAGGAACAATTCCGAAGTGTGTCAATAATTTTCTCATCATGGCCGGGGTTGAAGACGCCCCTTCCTACATTTATGATCCATTTACAGCATACGGGAAGGATGCTCTGGAGACCATCTTAATGACACTCTCTCTTGCAAATGTTTCCTTTATATTTAAAAATTATAAGATTTCATTGAGCTTGCCAATGTCAGCACGCTACCCAGTTGCAGTGATTGATCTATCAAGCAACTTTCTTTCAGGTGAGATTCCAGGGGAACTTGCCTGTCTTGTTCGGTTGAAGGCATTGGATTTGTCAAAAAATAATCTAACAGGACCTATTCCTCCTGGCATCGTTCACTTAGTCAATTTGCAATATCTTGATTTGTCCAGGAATAACCTTTCTTGCTCCATTCCACCAAACATGTCAGATCATGTTTGCTCCCTTGAAGTTCTTAACCTCTCCTACAACCATTTGTCGGGTGAAATTCCCAAAGGCATACAATTTGACACATTTGACAACTCTTCTTACATAGGAAATAGATACTTGTGCGGCTGGCCTCTTACAAAAGAATGCTCCACACCTTTACCTGAAGACCCTCACTGTATGAATCATAATGATCCCAAAATCCAACATCACGCAAGTGATTGGCTAGATGGAGCAGCCTCGTTCTTCATTAGCATGGGGGCTGGATTCATTCCAGGATTCTGGGCATTCTGGGGAAGTCTGCTGCTGTCCAAATCCTGGAGATATGCCTATTTCTGGTTTCTGGATAACACGGCCGACAAGATTTATGTGTTCATTGCCATTAAGCTGAGAAACTGGAAGGAGAGGAAGCAGACAAGTGCTGGGTAAATGAACATCACAGTTGGTGAATTCTCTAATGATTCAAAGTCAGGTTTCTTGGCATGCAGATCAAGCTGATGGATCAGGGCACATCTATATATACAATTCTCCTCTACTTATATGTGTGTTTAATGTAAAAGATTGAAAAAATGTTGATATATGGTTTAATGTACTATTGTATCTATTGGATTGCTACACCACATTTCCAGCTACAATCTACATATATACTGATTCAGTGAATTCTAGAATCTTACTACTTCTATACCTTATTGTCTGCATATACAAAGCCAAACAAAAAGCGTCCATAAACTACAGGAAGCCATATAAAATTCACACTGAGGATGACATTTTCCAAAAGAAATTAATATTAAGGAAATATTTTAAATTGTCTCCTTTTCTTTTACTATAATAATATATCATTAGTTATAATAAAATATTATAATTGATTCAAATAACCAGTAAGAGTGTGTTTGGTTCATGGGTTTAAATAGTATGAGAATCAAAATCATAATTATTGTTTGGTTGATAACTTTTTAAAATACACTATGGGTTTGATACTTTGATTACCCCTTCAATTAAAAATCACATTCCCAAATTAAAAACTGGTATCTCATTCCTTAATAAAAAATATTATTCCCATAAAATACTCTCATTTACAGGAAACCCTATCCGGCAAAGGACCACAAGGAGGTACCGGCTCAAACCAAAAAGGCCAATAGTTACCAAGCCAATTGTTCAAGAAACTTGGCTGGGGTTGCCGACTAGTGCTTTTTTTTTTTTTTTTTTGTTAAAAAATTAATTAAAAATTACACTAGGGAATCTGGAAAAACAATGCAACTAAAAAACAAAAAGAAAGTTCAATCAAGCCTGCTCCCAGGTCAAGGTCACAGTTTAAACTACTCGAAGCTCTGAAGATGTCTAAATCCCGCTCACCGAGCGAAGAAAGACAAGCGCGTTTGCAACTACTAGATAGTAGCTCCTTACACCTCAAATGCTACATAGATATAGAAATTATCATCTGTATTTCTGCAACTCTGTTTTCTTTGATGAACTTGCCTGTTTTCATGGATTCACCATCAATCTCCATGGAAGCTAGGAAGCTGTTCATCCTTCTCCTCCTCCTCCTTCATTTTTCTTCTGTTGCAGTAAGTTCTAACATCATCCGTTGCCCTGAAACTGAAAAAGATGCACTTCTTAAGTTCAAACAAGGAATCACAAATCCTTCAAACCTGCTTTCCTCATGGACTACTGAACAAGATTGCTGCAAATGGGAGGGTGTTGAATGCGACAACACAACTGGGCATGTCACTACTCTTGATCTTCACAGCAGAAGTAAAGCAAACTCCTTGCGAGGTGAGCTAAGAAATTCATTGCTTGGTTTGTCATATTTGAGACATCTAGACCTTAGCCACAATGACTTTTTCTATAGTCAAATTCCTGATTTCATTGGCTCTTTCAAAAACTTAGAGTACTTGAATCTTTCTAGTGCCAACTTTAGAGGGATAGTGCCTGATCATCTTGGAAATCTTTCGTGCCTTCAGTACCTTGATCTGAGTGGTTCTGGTGGCAATCTAAGAGTAAACAACCATGACTGGCTAAGCCAACTATCCTCTCTGAAAGTTATTGACTTGAGTTGGGTAGACCTCAGAAGTTGGAATAGTTGGCTTGATGCAATCAACATGCAACAATCTCTCAAGAAGTTAAATCTATCTGCCTGCTATCTTTACTCTATTCATATTCCCCCTACACTGCCTTTTCTTAACTTCACTTCTCTGCAAATTCTTGATCTCTCACATAACCCTTTTGGGTCTTTAATACCAAGTTGGGTATTCAACCTCAGCAGTCTTGCTACTCTGAACCTAAAAAACAGTGAGATCCAAGGTTCAATTCCAGAGACTTTCCAGACCATGACCTCACTCACAGTAATTGATCTCTCAGAAAACGATCTCACAGGTGAGTTACCGTCAGCACTGCCATCACTTTTGAAAGAAGTGCACTTCTCTCGTAACCGCCTAAATGGTTCTTTAACCAAAAACATCATGCACCTTAAGCATCTAGTAGTTTTGGATGTTGCTCGGAATTCTTTGAACGACACACTTACTCAAGAGTCACTCAACTTCAGTGATTTGAAGGAATTGGGTTTATCTTATAACTCAATTGTCCTGAAGATTAGCCAAAGTTGGATTCCCTCTTTCCAACTTGATGTTATAGCCCTACGATCTTGTCAACTAGGGCATAGCTTCCCAAGTTGGCTTAGGACACAGAAAACCATATCCTCCATTGATATCTCTGATGCTGGCATTTCAGACAAGGTACCTGACTGGTTTTGGGACCTCTCTCCAGCAATGGAGCATATGGATCTTTCTTTCAACCAACTTAGAGGTGAAGTGCCAGATTTGTCAAGATTAAGTCTCTTGGTAGTAGACTTGAGTGGCAACAATTTCCAAGGTCCTGTGCCACATTTTTCCTCAATGATGAAAGTTTTTATTCTAACAAATAATTCTTTCAGTGGCACTGTTTCCCCTGTATGTGAATCGCTGGTTTATAATAATTCTCTAAGGTTCCTAGATTTATCATCAAACAATCTATCAGGACCACTCCCTGACTGCTGGGTAAATGGGACAGAGCTGATTGTCTTGAATTTGGGTAGTAACTTCCTCTTTGGAGAAATACCTCAATCACTTGGAAATCTGCTTAATCTCAAGATGTTATTATTGGATCACAACAATTTCTTGGGAGAGCTGCCTTCATCATTGCAGAACTTGAGAAGGTTGACTCTTTTTGATGTTGGTTCAAATAATCTAACTGGAAGTATACTAGTATGGATTGGGGAATTTTGCATAGAACTGATTATTCTTGTTTTACGGGGAAACCAGTTTAGTGGAGCCATCCCTCCTCAACTTTGCAGACTTGAGTACCTAATGGTTTTGGACCTTAGTAACAATGCATTGACAGGAACAATTCCAAGGTGTGTCAATAAATTTCTCATTATGGCTGGGGTTGAAGGCGTCCCCTCCTTCATTTTTGATCAATATACAGCATATGAGAAGGTTCTAGTAGAGACCATCATAATCACAATTTTTGGTGAATATAACAGGTTTAGATCTCTATTCAGCTTGATTTTGTCACAAATCCACCCATTAACAATGATTGATCTATCAGGAAACTTTCTTTCAGGTGAGATTCCAGGGGAACTTGGCAGTCTTGTTCAGTTGATAACATTGGATTTGTCGGCAAACAATCTAACAGGACCTATACCTCCTGGCATCAGTGTCTTGAAAGCACTGGAACTTCTTGATTTGTCCAGGAATAACCTTTCTTGCTCCATTCCACCAAACATGCCAGATCATTTAGACTTCCTTGTTGTTCTCAACCTCTCCTACAACCATTTGTCTGGAGAAATTCCCAAAGGCCTACAATTTGACACATTTGACAACTCTTCTTACATAGGAAATAGATACTTGTGCGGCCCACCTCTTACAACAGAATGCTCCACACCTTTACCTGAAGACCCTCACTGTATGAATAATAATGGTCCCAACATCCAACATCATGCAAGTGATTGGCTAGATGGAACAGCACCATTCTTCATTAGCATGGGGGCTGGTTTCATTCCAGGATTCTGGGCATTTTGGGGAAGCCTGCTGCTGTCCAAATCTTGGAGACATGCATATTTCCGGTTTCTCAATAACACAACCGACAAGATTTATGTGTTTATTGCCATTAAGCTGAGAAACTGGAAGGAGAGGAAGCAGATAAATGCAGAGTAAATTAACATCCCAGTTGGTGAATTCTCTAAAGATTAGCAGTCAGGTATCTTTCCATAGTCATGTGAATGTCGGGGCTTGGCATGCAGATCAAGCTGATGGACCAGCACACATCTATGCACAATTCTCCTATACTTGTGTTTCATGTAAAATATTGAATAATGCTGATGGTTTAAAGCATCAATTCCAGGTAGAATCTGCATATACTGATTGTTCTAGTCCTATATGTTGTTGTTTGAAAGTACAAAGGTGTGCATTTATAATCCAAACAAAGATTAACCAAAAGCTACACGAATCATGATGCCAATCAAAATAAATTTTTAAAAAATGTTAAAACTGCCGCGATCCTTTCTTACCTTTTTTCGTTTCCCCGCGCTACCTTCCTATCTTCTGCAACGCTCAACATTGGCGTCCTCCAGGCTCCAACATCTCCACTTTCACGCTCGATCTCTTCCCCGGTTCTCCCCAATTCTGAAAACAAAAGATTAAAAAGAAAATCCTTTAATTTATTAGTTCCCTTCCATTCTCCCTTTTCTATCTAAGATGAGATTAGGAAGAGATTAGGGAAATAGGAAAATCCATGGCAATGTTGATGGCGCGGACGTACCTGATTTAGTCATACGTGACAGTGGCTATGGGGTTTGCTTATCATGACAGTGGTGCAACATTCAGTGCCCGCCATATTTTGACGAGTGTAATTTTAGAAATAAATATAAATATTGTCATTATATTCCTTTATTTTTTAGAGGAAAAAAAATGTCAATAGGATTAAAATAAGTTGTTTGAGATGTGTAATATTTTTTTTTATTTAAAATGTTATACTTTATTTATAGGTTCATACAAATAATTTGTCTTGTTTGGTAAATGGCGGTTAGTAGGGGTGGGCGTCGGTTCTGTTCGGGTGATACCCGAATTTTATTTCGCGTATCCGAAAATTTCGGGTGATATTTTTAATACCCGATATTCGAACCAAATTTAATTCCGATATGTTCGGTTCGGGTGAAATTATTTCGGGTTAGTTTGGATATACTCAAAATATTATTTTATCAATTTTGAATTTTTTTTAATAAATTTATTATTTTATTATTTATATTTTTTCATATACTATCAAACTAAAAATAAGACAAATACTAATAATTAACTAATAGACTTTTAAAAATTAATATATTATTAATTATGAAATACATTTAAAACTAGAGTTAATATCCAAAATGGTCCCTCGACTATGCTATAATTACCAATTTGGTCCTCAACTACCATTCTTACCCAATTAAGTCCTCAACTATGTAACTTTTACTCAATTAAGTCCTCAACTATACAATTCTTACCCAATTTAGTCCTCAACTATACAATTCTTACCCAATTTAGTCTTCTGTATTAATTTGACTGTTTGTTGACTGTCAAAAGTCAGGATAAAATTATAATTTTACAAGATTTCTCCTTCCTCTCCATTTAGCAGCGCCAAACCATGCAGTAATACACTCCAATCATATTTCGATCGTCAAAAAATCGTTGGAAATCAAATTCATGGGCTATCCGATGCATAACCACTACTTCGATACTGACAGGTTTAGAACCCAACCGAAGCTTATTGCTACATGATTTGGGTGCTGCTAAATGAGGAGGAAGGAGAAAACTTGTAAAATTACAACTTTATTCCCACTTTTGACAGTCAACAAACAGTCAAATTGACAAAGGACTAAATTGGGTAAAAATTGTATAGTTGAGGACTTAATTGGGTAAGAATGATAGTCGATGACCAAATTGGTAATTACGACATAGTCGAGGGACTATTTTGGGTATTAACTCTTAAAACTAAATATATAAATTATATTATTATATTTATAATAAAATTTCGGTTAGTTCGGGTTTCGGGTCGGATGTGGATAAATTTTTAACACCCGATATCCCAACCGAATTTATATTCGGATATACCAAAATTTAAAATATCCGAACCGATAACTATTTGGGTTCACCCAAATTTTAAAATTCGGTTCGGGCTTCGGGTGTTGGTTCGGATAATCCGAATTACGCCCACCCCTAGCGGTTAGTAGTTAGAGGTTTTGACCAGTAGTGGATTGTTTTATCAATTTATAGAAAGATATTTGATAAAATTAATTGTTTATGATGTCCTGGTCGTCGTGTCCCTCATGGGCAGAGGCTCAGGCAGGTCGTCGCGTGGCGTTTGGTGGTTACAATTGACAAACAGAGACTACGTGAGACGCGTTTACACATGTTTGACTGCGATTGACATATTTGAGATGGTATACACGTGGGTGGATCATGATGAGCTAGGGTATCTGGTCCGTATAGGGGATACCTTATGGACACAACCTTTCCTTTGGTCAAGTGGTATGGTTTCCTCCCTCTTGATGTCATACTTGGGATCGACTCGTTGGTAAATTATTTAGTTTTTATTTGTTCATTTACTAGTCACTTAATTTGTTTAGTTGTTATAGTCGTCATTCTTAATTAGGCCGGTTCCCTTGACTTTTATATATATTTTATTGAGCCTCAAGTCCCGATAATAAGATTGATATTTCTCTATTCCGTTCTATATTTATGTACCCGGTTCCGATAAAACCATAGAGATGTTGCTTGGAAATTTACAATTTACCTCCTAAGGAACTTTTAAACATAGATTATGAGGACTTATGTACTTTAAACTATAGTGTCACAAGTCCTCATAATATATGTTTAAAAATCACTAGATTTCTCATCTCACTTTAAACTATAATCATTCTTCCAAAAACAAAAACAATAAAAAAGTGTTGGCCAAATTCATAGCTTGAACGTGGTGGTAATTTACCTTTCTTCCGGTGACAAGATTGCATGAATTGGATGGCGTTTTGACAAAATGCGTCGCTGTTGGCCCACTCCCACCCCCCCCCCCCCCCCCCCCCCCAACTTTCATATCTCCAACTATGAATTGAAAAAGGATAAGATGCACATTGCCCACCCTCAATTATGCATTATGCAACCGACCCATATTTTTGTTCACCACTACATCAGCGATTACCACATATGACACAATCGTCCTGGACACCGGCCTAGCTATAAGGTGCCATGTCTGTTCTATTACGGCTGGTTTGGTTTACAAAAAAATATTTGATGAGGAATTAAATTAAAATTTTATGAAAAATAAATTAACAGGATTATTATGAACAGATACTACAATGTAATAGAGCTAGTAGCATTCAAAAAAAAAAAAAATTAACAGGATTATTAATTATATTGTTTGGTATATTGAAGGAACTATTTTTTTTTTTTAAAGAAATTGGAAGAATTATATTGTTGGAGAAAGATGCTAGAGGCGTAGTCACAAGAAGTAAAAAAGAATTTGTTGGAAAAATTAGCTTAAAATGGCATATTAAGTGGCTATTTTGTGGTACAATTATCAGTGAGATCCACTTCTGATTTGGGTCGGGTCAAAGTGGATTCGGATTCTTCGTAGTAAGACGAAGAGATTGATATATTGTACGCTCAAAACCGATAATGAGTGAATGAGATATTGATTCTCAAAGTAGACCCATTTAAATTGGGAAATGAAGGGAAAATGTAGGACTTTGTCCCACATTGGTTTGGAAACAAGATTTGCCCCCCTTATATACATGAGCTCTTTTCAAGCTTGTAGAATTGTATAGCATAGAGGCTCTCTCGCGCGGGGCGGGGGGGGGGGGGGGGTGTGCAAATCAAAGTCCAACTAGAGGACATAAAAAAGGCTTGAAATCAAGCGCCGGCACCTGCGGGCACGAATGTCATCCGGAAATGGGCTGGCCTTACGGACCAGACTAAGTTATGCCTAACTTCGGTATCATTTTCCCACTTCGAGAGTGCACGAGAGATGTACTCTACTCTCGTGTTGCTGGTCCGTGTGCTCTCGTTCAGCCTGTTGTACAGATTAAACTCATCTGTTACGGAATTAATACTGTTTTAATTCCAATTTTAAATCTGAGTTTAATCCTACTTAGTGGGTGACCGTTACAGGTGTTATACAATTGGTTTAATACCAATTAAAGGCCATGTTGAATGCTATCCCTTCCAACATCCCTACATAAAGAGAGGTAGAGCAGTAGCATTTTACACACAGTGAGAAACAAAGGAATTCCAGTAGCTTTTCATCTCAAAACTCTGCTTCTACTCTCTTCTTTTAGCCAACCAGTGTTCTAAGCTTTGCTTTGTTTGCCGGGTTCCTTGTTTAGGTGCTTAAACAAGGAATCGTAGCACGTTTTATCCTGGGAAACCTAGGCTACAACGCTCCTAGCACTTGTGGGAGGTAGCAAATAAGGTTTTAAGGAAAAGAACCTTGTGTTCGAACTCGTGCTAAACCTATACCCAAACACTCAACCTTTTCCTTCCCAATTCTTTCTGTTTTCCCATATAATATTAATCTTTCTATAGGATTATTATTTTTTGGGAATTTTCAACCATATTACCCAACACTCTTAAAACCTTATATCCGTTTCCCGTTGGTTGTTTATCTCTAATTTCCTAGAAGAAATGGAGAATCCAGTTTTGCCAGCTCTCGGGGAGGAGAATGTTGTTGAGAACAACAGTGGTGGGAATGGCAATAATGTTGCTAATTCCCAAGCTACACCAGTGAACGTTGGTTCACAAGATGGTGGGAGCACCGAGGGATATATTCCCATGACTCGGGTACCTACGGTACCGAGTGGTTCGGCCGAAAGACCGGAGAAGTTCACTGGTAGTGGATCGAACTTCAAGAGGTGGCAACAAAAGATGCTGTTCTACCTGGCAACTCTCGGCTTGGCGAGATTCTTGACCGAGACGGTTCCCGAATTAAGGGAACAAGATGCCCAATCCGTGATGGCAGTTGGCTATTGGAAGGATTCGGACTTCCTATGCCGAAACTACATCCTGAATGGATTATGTGATGCGTTATACGATGTATATCGCAAGATTGGCACAGCGAAAGCGCTGTGGGAAGCCTTGGATCATAAATACCGAAGTGAGGATGCCGGCGCAAAGAAATTTGTGGTTGGCCGATTCCTTGACTTCAAAATGGTTGATTCCAAAACCGTGCTAAGTCAGGTTGAAGATTTACAACTAATCTTTGATGAAATCCGTGACGAAGGCATGACGTTGAGTGAAGCCTTCCTAGTGGGATCTGTTATCCACTTGCTGCCTCCAGGGTGGAAGGACTTCAAGAATTACCTTAA